ACAATCACATTATAGCAGTAAGTAACATTTTTAATGCTAGGCTCCAGATCATGCTTCCAGCTACAGAAATTGATTCCACTGTTATCAAAACAGCAAAATGGCACACCACTAAATACTGATGGCAAAAGTTGATTAAGAGCTGATGGTTAGCAGCTCAAGAATTGTATTTTAATGTCCTTAACAAGGTTCCTAGAGGGCTAACCATGTAAACGTCTATTTCGTATTTTTTAAAGTGCTGCAAATAAATGTGTCTCATCACATAAAAGAACATAATTCTTAATATATGTAAATATCAGAAGGCCACCTGATTTATCAAAATTTAAAAAAAGTCACTCTGTTGCTTAAACTTACATCCTCCCCACTGTGATTTTTTTCAAAAAGACCTACAAAACTATGTTTAGCTGGGCAACTTGCAACACCCAAGTTTTAATTCCTACATGAGACAGAAGGAATAAGTTACATAAGCAAGTTAGGAATGGGCACTTAGGGGCATAGATAGATAGATATTAATTCATTCCTGATTATGATTTTGCTGGGACATGAACTTCATGGGACACTCAAAAGGCATGACAACATTAGCTCTTAACAGGGTCAAGCTGACCAGCAGCCAAGCTTCAAAAGTTAAGAAATCAACCATGAACCACTAACAATATATATAACAGACTACAGTCTTCATAAGGCTAGCACATCATTCTGAGGGATACTAATTTTAACTCCAGAAATCACTCTACACAGGTATGCATATTCATAGCATTATACCTCATCTTTAATCTGAGTAATAAGGAAAAGGAGGGTTGGGATGGGACAGCACAATTGTTTCTGTTTTTTAAGCAGTACTGGTGGTTGAACCCAGGGCCTTTATTCTAAACTCCCCAGCCTGTTTTTTATTTTTTGAGACAGTGTTCCTAAATAGGTCAGGGCAGCTGGAATGTGTGATCTCCCTGCCTCATGTTCCCAGTGTTGGGGGCCAGCTGGAAAGCACAATCTATTCATTCTGCCACTAATGTACACTGTTCTCACTTTAATTAAAAAAAATTCTTGAATAACAGATAAAACTGCATGAGTAGAAAGGCGACTTTCATTTTGCTCCAGTGTAAACTTAGGTTAAAGTTTTTTTAACCCTGCTGCAAGCACTAAATTCAATACTTTTCAAAACTCCCAAGGTGAGAATTTACCCACATTATTAACTAATTTCAAGTTTAATAAGCTCATAAAAATAACACCTTAAAATCTGTGAGGCTTACAAGCTTGACTTTAGAATGAGCATAAGATTAGCTTATTAGTTTTTAATAATTAAATGATCTGCAAATAATGCTTCATTTTGAATTTCCCATCACTGTTGAATTTCAGCAAAGGATTCATTTAAAAAGTCAGTTTTGAAAGTAATATGATGCATAAAGCTCAATTTGATGTTACCTAGTGGTACTCTCTTTTGGAAACAGGGTCTCACTGTGTAGCTCAGGCTGGCCTCAAACTCACAGCAATTCTCCTGTCTCAAGCCCCTCGAGTGCTGGGACCCAGCAGTACTTTTCTTAATTTGCAGTTTTAAATTTCTTATTTTCTGGGGAAATAAGATACAAAAACTATCTAGACTCAGATGACAAGACAGTACACAAAGTGATTTTCATATCATATTCACTAGTATAAGTCATGATTGCCAAACATAAAGTATTGTAAGCTCACAAGTGCTATTTTTAAGGCTCAGTACAAAAGAAAAATACTTTCAACTGATATTGACCATAACTTGTAATGCCTAAAACAAGTAGGTACATAAAAGGTACTTAAAAAATGTCATTTGATGATCTGAAGCATACTTTGTGTATTTTTCCTTAAAGGAACTTTTCTCCTACATTGTTCACTTTAATAGTCCTTAGTTTTACATGACCACCTTCACTAAGTGAAAAATCTCAATTTTAAAACATTTGCCAAGATACATGGAGGTGTAAGTGCTTTAAAGTACACCACTTGTTTTCTAAGTGAGATACTTAATTGAAATGAGACCAAGATAAAAAACTTCACAAAATTAAGCCTCTTCATATTGTGTGAATTAATACATAACAAATTATAATGCAGCATCCCTGATCTTCAGAAGTAAGAGGTAGAAAACTTTATCTGGAAGATCTTACAGTGAAGCTAAGTTTTAGAGGGTGTTCTTTGCGGATTAGTCCACTAAGCAAATGGCTACACTTCTGGTATTAGGAAGAAGCAGAATTTTGACAAAGCTGAATAAGGCAAGGATTTAAAAACTTTCATATTTTGGAGTGAAATAAATGACATCAATTACTTTAACACTGTTCAAAAGTCAAAGATTGCAAAGAAGCATTTGTGCTAACCAAAGTGCTAACTTGCAGAAATGTGGAATGTTCAAAAGCATGTTAGTTGAGGGATACAGCTAGCAGAAAAACAAACACTGTTTGAGTATGTAAAACAGCTTACAAAAACCAAACCTAAGCATAGCATTACCACTTTACATAAGGACTGTTTTTGAAGGAAGTATTCTTAACAAAAAGCTGGGGAAATGAAATTCCGCCAGACATCTGTATGTAAAAAAGCAAAAACAGAGCGCTCAAATGTCAAAAAACTTCAATTAAAAAAGCATACACTGCTTAATTTAAAAACTGTATCTAATATGACGAAGACCAATACATGAATTGCATTAAAACATGAGGCCAACAGTCTTTTAAAGCTTCAGTAAGCTGCTTCAGGCACCTTTTCCTGTACATTCTACTTTTGTACACTATAATCTTAAACAGCAGCCTATCAGGTCTTGTTTTAGGTAACATTCTCAACTGTAAAAATTGCTTGCTGTGTACTTATAAAGTCTACCAAGTTGCAATATAAAATCAGTTCTGATAATTCTGGGTATTTCCATTTCATGAATCAATTCATTTAAAAGCTATTAACTCACTAAAAGTTATTAAAAGGAATCAATTACTGGAGACACTGTGGTATATGTCCAGTGGCTTCACATGCAGCCTTCCACATTATCTAAAATGTTTTCTTCTACAAGGTAAAGCTGCTGGGTGCTAGTTAATAATACTAAAATCCAATCTTCAGGTTAGTGTCAGTAGGTGGCAAGGACCATGTCTTCTGTCACCCCAGCAGAGATGGCATGTATCACCACTGTAGACACACATTTGTAAACTTGCACACTAATTTTAATCTTAATAAGGAATTTCAATGTCTTAGTGGTTTAAGTTAAAAGAATGGTTCAAGCATGGTGTCACTTTGTATTTTAGGGTTACAAATAGCTTATTGGAAAATCCAGAGCCTTCTGGATCTGTGAGGTAGTAGGCTTCAACCCTCATCATGCATAGATCACACTTCTCCGAAGTTGGTATGGCCTGTCTCCTTGGCATGCTCCCTTGCTTCTGCTTGTCCAGTTAATCCCTTCTGACACACCATGCATCTCAGGGTGAAGTGGTTTACATCAGTAAACTGTCTCTTTCTTCTAGCTTCATCTGCTAATTCCAGTGCTTGTACAAGAACAACATCATCATTAGAGGAGAAAATGGTTAGAGGTGGGGTATCAGGATCAGGAAAGTTACGCTGAAGTGGATCATAGTGGATGCCATCATAGATAAGCAGAACTCTTTTGGAATATCCTGCATCTTCCCCAAAACGATCAATTCTTACTGTCTGTGTGTCTACTACACATATCTCACACTGATAAAACTTAGACAAAATTGATATCTCAATTGCTCCCCCCCAAGTATCATCCCTTTTGATCCAGTCACAGTACTCTTGATTTGTTTTTCCCAGTATTGCCTCACTATAGAAGTCTGGATCACTTGCTACAATTTGTGCTATGAGGCGTCTCATCTCTGGGGCACAAGCTGGATTCAAGACTCCTCCTTCAACGACATAGTACACACTGGTAAAGAGGCAAGAGTTGTCTGCTGGGACCGCGGTTCTGGTAAGCACAGGCAAAGGTTCCCTGACATAAGTAGGAGCACCATGATTTGTAAGTGCAGGTGAAGTTTTGGGTCTGGTTTGGTCTTCTTCAACGATCAGCATGTCGCCTGTTAAAAATAAAACAAATCCAGAACTGCAAAAAAATGATAGATGAAATTAGGAGTTCACTAGCCAAGTTCATAAGTTACAATGAGAAGGAGATACAGCATAAAGTAGGGTTACTGAGGAGAATACAACTTTATAAACAAGTGACTTGTGACATTTTTTGTTTACTGAGTCTTCCTAAAGATGAAAACAGAACAAAGGACAGAACACTTCAAGTTGCATCCCAATTTAGTGAGGGGCCTGGGGCATATAGCCTCATACTTAACGTGATACATTTCAGAAACAAAATTTCCTTACATGCTGTCTGCATTTAAGAGCACAAATCTTCCAGAATGTGTTCACCATACAGTAGGCCACTAGGGGGTTCTCCTCCTTCTGAAACTTAACAAGTCTACCCAATGTAGTGTTTACAGACTCCTTGCCCCACAAACAAAAAGCTTTTAATTATTAACGTTGATATTCAAGTTCTAATATGGGCAGAAATAACTGCTGTTGATTAGAACTTCAAAGAGCTTTTAGTGAATGTTTAAAAGCTAACTGGAAAATGAATATATCTGTCAAACTAATATATGAAGGACCCTACAAAATCAAAATCAAGAAAAGAAACACAAAGCATTCTACACCTTTTAGATCTTTAATGATAAAGACCATCGAGACAAAAAAAAAAAAAAAAAGTCCCAAAAAACAGATCCTACATCCCTATACTTTTGGGTATACAGTGGAAACAAAATGAATGAGATAGTTTTAAGGTAGATCGGAAAGCAAGTTGAGGAAAGAGGAGTCCGAGGCCTTGGGCTTTCCTGTCCACCTTGCCTAAGGACAAGGAGTTGCTAGGCACTTGCCCGGCCTGTCAGTGCTCTGTTCATCTTCCCTTGGTCCCCAATGCGCCCACCTGACCCACAGCCACCTTTCCGGGACTGGGTTTCTGTCCCCACGGCCTCCCAGCCCCCACCCCCCCACCACGGCCCCGCTTCCCTTACCTGACTGGATGGGCAGGTCTCCCAAGACAGTTTCTCCGTTGCTGAGATCCAGGCACTCGGGCGGGAATCCGACGAGGATTCGCTGACCACCAGGAGCGATCCCAGTGATGGCTGCAATTTGGCCCTGCAGTTCCCGCAGCCGGGTCCGGTTGGACAACCCCTGCAAAACATGGGTGCCATCCTTGGCCTTGCAGCGGAGCCGCCACATCGCGTCAGTCCGGCCGGACCAGACGCCGGTGGGGCCACCTTTGGTGCTTGCACCGGGATGAGAGACGCAGCCGGGGTAACCAGCCGGGGGATGGGCCCCAAAATGGCCACCCTTGGAGGAGCCAAACATCGCGAGAAGTTGCCAGTGGGGTTACAATTCTCGCGATAGCTTTGTTTGGCGCCTGCCTTTAGTGCTTTAAGAAGCGCGAACTCTTTTAAAGAGACAACTGATAATTTCCTCCCGCTTTCAGGTGGTGAAGGTTGAAGATGTCTCCGGACTCCTACAGGGCAGCTGATCTTGCTACCTGTAGAGCGCGTGCGGGGGCCCTCTGCGTCGGTAGCATATATGCTCAAAGGAAAAGGGCGGGGGAAGGAGTTCCTGAAGCAAGCAGAGTGGAATGTAACCTTGAACTCGGGTCGGAAGTTATTAAACCGGGGCTTCCAAACGACACTGCGGGAAACAGTCATAGTTCACAACGTGAGCTGATGCCAAGGATGACCAGTGAGTCAAAGGATTGTCAAAAACAATCAGCCTCGTGACTGGAGTCTCTGGACTCTCTGACTGTCTGACTCACTGGGGTGAAGGGGGCCGGGAGACTGGTCTGTCTATTCCCTTGGGACTGTACCTTGAAAACGTCCCTTGGCCACTTCAGAAAGCACACTGTGAGGTCACGTCTGGGCCCAGGCAATGCTCACTCAGGCGGTGGCCGTGTCAGGAGGGGGTGTAGAGGAATAAAGCGTGCGATCAGGTCAGTTTCTGGGGTCCCAGAGGTGACGCCGACTTCGTTCCTGCCTGCAGTGTAATAAGTGCTCATTATAGTCCACAGGTGGGGCCTAGGACAGGTCACCACTGAATTTCATAGCAATTCTATATGCCGGGATAAGGGCTGTTTTCACCCCTGTAATCCTAGAACACAAGACTCTGCCTTGCAAATCAAGTGTTCAATCAGTACTTACCGAAGGGATAAAGTGTATAGCACAGAGGGGGCAACTGTAACACTCTGGGAGTTGTGGAAAGGCTCAAAAGGGAGATGACTCCGAGTTTGAACTATGTTGAAGGGTGAGTGAATTCCCAGGTTGAAGGAGGAATAAAAACATCCCTGAAATTATCAGTACAATCAATCATCAAGCCATCCTGCTGGGCAGCTATCAAAAGTGTTGTTCATTTGGAATGTGCAGAAGCTTCTACTTGTAAGTAGGTTACGTGAAATCTGCATCTTTTCCTACCTCTCACGACTCAGTTTTCTGCTTGTGCTCCTCTGTTCTTCAAGATGACCGTAACAGATGGTATGGCTTGGGTAGGAGAGGGGAAAGGAAGATGGTTAGAAGCCTGCTAGCTGATGTCAACGAGTCCAGGACAGCTCCTGGCTCTAGCTGGACAGCTGATTTAGTTACAGCATCCGACCTCTGGGAAGGAAATGCAGACACCCCAAGTGTCCTCAGCTCCAGTGCCGTGAAAAGTAACAAATTCCTTCTAAAGCTTATGGTTCAGTTTATGAAACTGTAGATCTAACAAGACCCAGCTGGAATTAAGGAATGCAAGCGTTAATCTTGGCAACGTTTTCACCAGAAAGTCACACTCCCGCTAGACAGCTACTTAATAGTGCATTCTCGCGAGAATATGAAAAAAAGCCAGGCTTTTATTAACCCCGCCCCCAGCCCTATTAGTTACCAAGCAACGCGGCCGCCAGCCTCTGCCCGGCAGGGAGACCGGCCCTGGCGGTCTTTCTTCTTCCCTGTTCGGTCCTCCTTCGGGAGCCGGGTCGGCGCCGGCCGGAGCTCCGCCCCCTGGGCCCTGCAGGTGCTCGATTGGCCGATGGCTGATTCTCCCCAGGTGCGGGCGACGCGCGGTGGGCGGGGCCGGGTGGGGCCACGTGACGAGCTGGGACTCGTCGCCTGGCCCCGGCCGCAGGCTGTCAGCTCCGGCTGGCGGCGTTACCGGGCAGCGCCGGGCTACAGCCCGGAGGGTTCTTAGGAGAGATCCTAGGGTGAGCGACAGCTGCGCAGCGCCTGACGGTCCGGGCCGGCGGGACGAAGGCGCTGCTAGCGCTGGGAGGCGGTCCCGAGCGGTGATGCCTCGCCCTTTAGGGCAGAGCCAGCCTCAGGCGCTGCCGGGCTTGCGGACCTTCGGAGAGCGGAGCGACAGCTGCTGTTAGGGCTGGAGAATTTGTGCGGCCCGTGGAGGGACAGTGCGAGGTCTCTGAACGAGGGACCTTGAGCCCCGCCAGCGCCTTGGTAAATGGGTGTGGGGTTTGTATCAGGACTTACGCCTCATTTTGCAGGTAACCTTGGCGAAGTCATTCACCTCCTCCGAGACCTGTTCCTTTAGCCTGATTCCCAGGGGATAAGTAGGGAGAATGAGAACACCAGAGGAGAAATGATGACGTGCTAGGATCGTCTCGGGGTCCCTTTGAGAAAAATGAGATTTTTTTACCCCCATTCTCATTTTTTCTTCAGGGCTGAGTCTTACCTTTGGATTGGACTCTTACCTTGGGATAACGAATTTAATCTATTTCCACCCCCGCTGAACCTCTAATTGCCACCACTATCCTCCCCAGATTCTTAAAACTAGAGTAGGAGGTCAGGAAGAAAGGTGAACCACTTAGTTCAATGAACATGTTTTCAACCTGTAAAACAGAAGTAAGAATGGTAGCAAAACCTGCCTTATGAAAGGATTATTGGAGGGATTCAAGAGCTAAGGTCTATGAATGTAAACTCCTAAATCAGCAAATAAATGCAAAGTTCTAGTGCAACTCCCTTTGGAGGTGAGGAAACTGGGCTGAGGAGGTTCCTAATTTTTTGGAAGGCAGGTAGCTGGTGACTGGGAGGAGGAGGACTGGCCCTGACTCTTGGCTGGGGTTCTTTCACATATCCCACACTAATCCTTTGCACTGAGCGTTTTGAGGAACTCCTTCCTTCTCTTCCTTCCATTCTTTTCCTTTCCTCTCTCTCTCCCCTAGGCACCTTCTGAAGAGCTACCATGTCTGGGAATGTCTCGTCTTCCACAGAACCTGGCTGCAACAGCTATGAAACCAAATCCACAAATCTTCGAATGTCAGAGAAGAAATGTTGTGAGTCCTGGGGAAGAGGAGGGGCTACCATCTCTCAGGATTTTGTCCTGGGAATCTAGTTGTAATCCTAGGCTCTGCTGCTTGGTGGGAGTGGGAAGTAACTCTGATACGGGAACAAAGTTTCCAGGGGGTGGTTTCCTGTCTAAACTAAGTGGACTCAGTGAAATGTCTGCCCATGGGGATAGACTGTCAGTGTGGTCCAGCAGTTTCTTACTGCTTTGTTGTGGGGAATCTGCATGCTTGGTTGATGTTGGAAGTTCAGTGTTATGGTCAGGCGGAGTGACAGGGTGCAGGAATTTCTTGGGGCTGTTACTCTGCTTTCCTTTATCTGTTGGGCAAAATTCTGGGAGGGTGCTGCTCACTGCAGAGATTGCAGGTAGGAGGAAGCAGTGCTGCCCTATTGCTATAGGCCTCAGGGCAATGACTGCTGACTTCCTGTGATTTCTCCAGTTTTCTTCAGCATCTTTCTTTCTCATGGATTTTGCCTTTGTGCTTGGCACACTATTTCACAGGAGCCTTTCCGCGCTGGTCTTGTGGACAGAGACAGCAGGAGGGCGACGGGATGAAGCTTCATTTCCTGGCCCCCTTGCATCTATATTCCTGCCTTATTATAGGCTGCAGAGCTTCCCAGGAGTCTAGGGTATCCTCAAGGAATGCTAATTCTTGCTCCTGCTTTTAGATTGTGCCTTTCCTCTGGAACCATATAATTTTTTTTCACTTTAGTGAAGATCTATCTACCTCCCTACCTATCAGTCAGTCAATCAGTCATGCCAACTAGTGTGAGACCAGGAATTGTCTCATGCTGAAAGCTTTTTCCTACAGCCTTGACCTTGATATTGTGCTCCTGTGTGAGTCTCATGATTAACGATGACCATCTCTCTTTACCTAGCACCATGAGGTGTGCTGGACAGAAGCAACTGGTTTGGATGTGATAGTGAGGTTGGCACACTTCTACAATTCGGGTTTCCTTTCTCTGCCAGGGCAGGAAGCCAGGCACCAAGGGCAAAATGGCCGAGGAGAGGTAACTAGTTCATATGATGCTTAAGAGTAGCCTCTAGTCAGATTGCCTGGGCCAGAAACTATTTCCTATCTGTGTGCCCTTGAATGAATTGCTTATCCTCTCCATGTCAAAAGTGGGGATACTAATGTATCTCCCCCAAGAATGACTGAGGATTAAACGAATACGCATAGGAAATCACCTAGGGCAGGTGGCTATCTGCCTCTTGTATTTATTCCTCAAATGTATATAGATTCAATCACAGTCGTGCTATGCTTGGACCTCATCATTTAGAAGAGCTTTGTAAAGAACTGTTCTTTTTCCCCCGCCCCAGAAAAGAATGTTGTCTCCTCTCGTTTGAGAATATTATAACCCAAACTTGGAGATCTGAGATGCTGCTCTTCAAGTGGATGCGCTCTTGTTACTAGGATACTTGATCGAAAAGAGGGCAGAGTGCTGGGTATGGTAGAGAATGCCTGTAATCCCAGCATTTTGGGAGACTGAGGCAGGAGGATCACAAGTTCAAGCTCAGCCTGGGTAATTTAGTGATTTAGCAAGACCTTGTCTCAAAATTTAAAAAGAAAAAAAGTCCAGGGATGTAGTTCAGTGTGAAGGCCCTGGGTGCAGTCCCCAGTACCTCCACCCCGCAAAATAGCAAGAACTGGGGGCAGGAGCAGAGCTGATCGCTGTGGGTGTGTGTGACTGAAGGATGTCCTGTGTCAGTCCTGGCTCTGCCTGCTCCACACCAGCAGCCTCTCCTACCTGCCTTCCTAACTTTGTAATTTTTCTGCTTCAAGGCTTTTAATGAAGGAAACTAATCCCACATCTCTCAGATTTTTTTAAACTCTCATTCCTGCTGTGGACTCTGCTTTCTTCTTTCTGAGCTCCATCCTCTTCTCCAAACTGCTTTTTCTCCCCAGCTGAGGATGCTGGGTTGTTCGAAAGCCATTGCCATTCACTGACCCTACCTTCTTCTCGGCGGGACTGTGACACTGTGACAGCCACAGTCAGAGAAGGATGTGTGGTTATGAAACTATGTTTCCTTTTGCCTGCTGTGTTTGGAGACATGTAGCTTGGATTCTTTTCTTCTGGTATATTGGTGAAAGTAGATTCATTACTATACTCATTTCCGTTACCACAGACTAAAAATTTTTAGTATATTGTGGACCGCTCTTCCATGTTGGTGAATCCAGATTGCCCAGATTCTGAATATTGTGGAAAATGTGCCTTGGTACAGGCCCCCTGACTGCTTGGTGTTCACACCAGCACTTGCTTTGCTTTATTAATGTTGTTCCTTGTTGCTCCTTACGTGAGTGTTGGCTAATGTTGAGTCTGGAAAGTGACGAAGAGTTCAGGGCAGAGGAATGGCTTTAGGGAGCCCAAACCTTCCAAGGAGCATTGCCAGGATATGAGCTTCCCTGGGGATGGGGCCAGAGGGAGGGCTGGCTGAGTGACTTCGAGGTTCTGAAGGCAGGAATGTGGGGAGGTTGCATGCTTTTTGGTTTCTTTTAATTGTGTGGATATTTTGAGTAGATCTATAGCAGACAAGTTCCTGTTGTGCCTTTTCCTAGATACAGAACCAGAGCACATTCATGAAAAATTCAAATAATACAGACAGTGAAAAGTGAGAATCTCTTACAATCTTTCCCATCTTTGCTAAAAGTGTTTGATTACTGTGATATGAACTTAAGTTCGTACTATACATATCCTGTTCTGCCATTTCCTTTTTTAAATGATAAATGTGCTTATACTGTTTTTTAAAATTTTATTTTAAAGAGAAAACAAAAAAAAGACAAAAACAAAACAAAAAACAGTAAAAATGATACAGAACAAGGTACTAGGAAATTAATAATGGTTGTTATATTACATATTGTTATCTTTAAAGTACTTGCTCAGATTACCAAATATGCCGTTTCCTTTAAAAGCATATTATGTTATAGATTGTTTTTCATGTTGGTACAGCCAAATTTACCTCGCTCTGCACTGCATGGATATGATAGTTTCTAATGTTTAAATTATTTCCTGTTTTCCACTGTCACAAAGATTGTTGCAGTGAGCATCCTTACACCTTAGTGTGTTTGTATCGGCAACTTTCTTTACAGAAGTAAGGGTAACAGACACATTGAAAATGTCAATCAGTGTTACTGATTTGCCCTTCAAACAAATTCTTATGTTATCTGCTATTTCCAATATTTCAAGAGTTTGCTGGAAGGTGGACATTGTCAGTTATACCTATGTGCTAGTTAACTAAATTGTCAGCTTTCCTAGTCTTTATCTGCAGTTATGTCAACTTGGTTATTTCATGCCTATTAGTAAATAAAAAGAAATATCAGTTTTGATGGCTTCTGCTGAATAAAAATATTACTAAGGAAACATACTTTATGGATGCAAATTTCAAAGTATCGGGCCTATTTTCAGGGAATGTTGGAAGAAGACTTTGGCCATGGAAAGGTTGGAACCCTTGCTGTTGTAGACCATGCTTCCAGATTAGGATGGACAAGGCAGTTGAGTTTACCATGGGGTCGTTTGGTCAAGTGCTGTCAGATGGCCAGAGAGTTGGCAGCTGTGACTGGGCAGTCATGAGACCAGGAGTCTAGTCAAGAGCCCTGACCTTGACCTTCTATTATAGGACTGTGGGCGGAGCTCTGAACTTCTCCAGGCTTGAGTTTTACCACCTACATGAAGAAATTTGTCAGGCCTTGTCCAGTCTAACATGCTTATAAAGACAAAATTAGCCTACTTCAAGAAAAAAAGTTAAAATTTTGTGTAAAGAAGGTAGAATTTCAAGATTAAAATGGGCTGGCATTGTATGTCAAGAGATGGCCTTACAGTATCTTTGAAGTCAGTCAACCTGAAGTATCTTCTGTTGCAATTAAGGTGTCGGTGGTATGATTTTAATAGGACAAAATGTTCCTAGTTTGGCCAGTGTGGCAGTTTGAAATAGGAAGTGTGGCTTGATTTTACTCTGGAAAATGAGAAGCCTTATGGTAGCAGTTGTGCGTGGGTGTCTTCTGGGCCAAGACAGGAGGTGTGGTGCAGGAGGGCAGGGTGTGGCGCCCCTAATTACTGGATGAGCTTTTGTTCCTAGCATGCTCTGTCCAGTGCAGTAAACACAGACCATCTGGCTCCCTGGTTGCCTTCAGAGCAACTCCCAAGTATCAGTTCACTTTAAACTTAAGGGAGGGTAACAGGGCCTGGGGGGAAAGAGCATAATGGGCTGGAAGGCCGCAGAGTTAGCAGGTGTAGAAGGTAATTAGCCACATCCTGAGGGATTGAGAAAGATATGTGCTCAGCTGGAGAAACTGAAGACTCAGAGGATTTTACTACTTGAGCCAGAGGCAGCTGATGCCAGGCAGAGTGCATCTGCCTGTTTGAGGTCAGTGACCAGGGATTAATGCCGCAGAGACCGTAGGCTGGTGTTTGCTTGCCTTTGAGCTCCCTGTTTGGACAGAGATGAGAATCACTTACTTTGCTTCATTAGCTACCTTGGAGGGGCTTCTGCTTATAGGCGGGAATTGCCCATGTGCTCAGGGTGTAAAGGACTAAAAGTCCTACTCTTTGGCCCCTCCCTCCCAACAAAGGCCACTGGCTTTCAAGTACTTGCTTAACACCCTTATGAAACTTCCGTCTGGGGCCAGTTTTCTCTTGAGGCCCTTCTACCCACTTCTCCTTTGAGACCTTTTTTGTTTTTTTTTTGGTTTTTCTCCGGTACCGGGAACCGAACTCACGACCTTGCACTTACCAGGCAGGCGCTTTTGCCGCTGAGCTAAATCCCCAGCCCCTCCTTTGAGACCTTTTAACCTATCTTTCTCAAAAGATACAAGACAAGTTTCTCTTGCAGGCATTTCCATTTCACTGGATGATTTCTTAGCCTTACAGTGTCACTTTGTGCTTATGGAGAACCAGCCACAACTGTAGGGCTCCTTCTGAAAGGGAAGTGGTGCTAGGAGCGGAAGGTCAAGGTGTTTCTTTGCCTTTCCTGCCCTGTGGTGCATCTTCCAGCTGGAGCTGACAGAGCCTGAACACCCCACCCCAGGACCTCACTTTGGGTCTTGGCTCCAGGGAAAGGGGCAGGCATGGTCAGGGAGCCACTATCCTGGAGAAGGGAACTCTGTTCCTGGAGAAAAGTTGTTAAGGAAGCACAAAGTCTGGATTCCAAAACCAGCTCTACCCTTGACTCACAGTGCATCCTTAGATAAGTCTCCTGACCTCAGAGCATCTAGTTTGCCCCGTCTACTGAAACTGAGCTTTGTGAATGAGCAGTCCTGAAATAAGTTACCAAGGGGGTGGACCAATGATTGTTCCTGCTTTTCAGTTGCCTTGCTTTTATAGAGACCATTGAGGCGGGCTGTCCTGATATCTTTGTAAGTTAGTTCCACCAGGGAGCTTCCTGAGCTCAAGCTTGTGTCCAGTAGGATTTGCATATTAAATCTCACTGTGGTTTAGAAATTCCAGCTTAAGGAGTTCATGGCATGAGGGCAGAGGTCAAAATGACTTGAGGCAAATTCTTTTTGCAGTATGGAGCTAATTCTTTTATGGCTCTGAAGGAACAGATGGCATCCTCAGGGCAGAACCTCTGTTGGACCCATTTCACAAACCAGCTCAGTTTGGTATGAATAGAATAATAACTATGTCATTCCTGTGTTACTAGGTATTCTCATGTTACAGAGGGTGCCATGGTTACTTTTTTCCTAATCCTTATCACTTTACCTCTTCTTTCCATCTTGCACACCTATGTGAAGACCTCAGGCATATGGAAAGGACGTGTCTGAGCCTGATACTTCCTGAAAATCTGCATTACCCATTCTCTTTCAGGAGTATCTGCCCTATTATCCTTGGTTTGCCTTCCCACTCTTTCTGGACCTTTGCCCCACTAGTTTATGAGGATTAAATGAGATTATGAAGTTACTGGGCCTGTAGTCATTTGGTTCTGCTTTGTTTCACTTCCTTCTAGCATGGGCCTCCTACATGACCAACTCCCCGACTCTCATTGTTATGATTGGCTTGCCAGCCCGGGGTAAAACCTACGTGTCCAAGAAACTAACACGCTACCTCAACTGGATTGGGGTGCCCACCAAAGGTAGGTCAGGGCATTCCTTGAGAAGGGAATCATTTGTTCCTGGATCCCACATGTCTCTGGGAGACTAATCCTCCCTGACATCAAGGTTAATAGAATGCTTCTGGCAGAAATAGTGGTTGCTTCCTCATTATTGGATGACCCAAGATTTGTCTTTTCCTGGCCTGGGCAGCGTGGCCTGGTTTTGAAGGAGTGCCTTTGGTAGGTGTATTAAGAATGAATGAGAACAGGGCTTTGTATTTTTTAAATTTTTATTTTTTATTTTTTATTTTTTGGTTTTTCTCCGGTACCGGGAACCGAACTCACGACCTTGCGCTTGCCAGGCAGGCGCTTTTGCCGCTGAGCTAAATCCCCAGCCCCAGGGCTTTGCATTTTTGAAAGCCCCGTGCATGGAGCTTGTTACCTAAACCTAGCAGCACCCTTGTGAAATTGCAACTCAGGCCACGTAAGACTTTCCAGGTCTTGGGAGTCAGGACTTAAATCCAACTCCTTTGACTCTTAATCTGGCATTAATCCCAACATGCTGTGGTGCTTTTTGCATCCCCTTGGCCGCTCTGACCTTACATCAAGAAGTCCCCTTTGGTGGGCCCGTCATAGTACTGTGCTGCTGAAGGAGTTGGGTATCTTTTGCAGTGTTCAATCTTGGGGTATATCGGCGAGAAGCTGTCAAGTCCTATAAGTCCTATGACTTCTTTCGACATGACAACGAGGAGGCCATGAAGATTCGCAGGTGAGTCTTTTTTAAGGCCTGATTCCAGGTCAACTCTTTCTGGACCATCATAAGACTAGGTGTGATAGGGTTTTGTTTTTTTCTCAGTAAAGAACTCATGGGGATTTTAAGTAGAAGTTATCTGATGAGCTGATCACATTGAGCTTGGGTGGGTAGAAGAACGGGGCTCAGGGAGTTGCTTATTTGATTGTAGAGTAAGCCTAAAGGGAGATGATGTGTGTATTAGGCTAGGGATAGAGGTATAGGACAGTGTAAAACCCTCAGTGGGAAAGTTGAAGGAAGGATGTGACTCCTGCGGCCACCCAGCTGTTTGTCTCTGGCTGTGTTTGAGCTTGGCTCTTACTGCTGCTGTCCTTTGCTCTCATGGCAGACAGTGTGCTCTGGTAGCGTTGGAAGATGTTAAGGCGTATCTCACTGAGGAGAGTGGGCAGATTGCGGTGAGCCTTACCTGCTTCCTCCCCTGCTCAGTCTCCAGCCTTTTGCCCTTTGGGTCTGCCTTGGTGAGGTTCCATTTCTCTGGTCCCATTCATATAACCGTGTGCTTTCTGCCTAGGTGTTTGATGCCACCAATACCACCCGGGAGAGGAGGGACATGATTTTGGACTTTGCCACGCAGAATTCCTTCAAGGTAGGCTCTAACTGCATATTGGAGGACAAAGAATGATTGGAAACAGGGAGTTAGGATGAGATTTGAATGTATTTGACTTGGGTGAAGACAGGATTGGCTATCTGATTCTCTTCTCTTGGGGCATACCCTCAGTCCTTGAGTATTTTCTTTCAGATCCTTTCTCAGACCTTTAGCCTGTATGTTTGAGGCCCCTGGCATGTGGTAAGAGCTACTTTTTAAATGAGGAGGCCTTGAAGACCACAATCATGAAAAAGTCCCGGGTGATGTGGTGGCTGGGTGGGGTGGCTGAGTGTGTGCTCTTAATTAGCTACCTGACATTTATGACTTATTTATCATGCCTTCTCTCCATGGGCAGGTATTCTTTGTGGAATCTGTCTGTGATGATCCGGATGTCATTGCTGCCAATATCCTGGTGGGTGACACTCTGACATCTCACTTTTGTCTTCTTTTTTTGCGGTGTGTTCATGTGTGTGCATGTGTGCATGCGTGTGTTCTGGATAATGAGAGACAAGTAGATATGTTTAATATCACAGGGAGAGCTTTCCTATCTGCCAGAGTGTCATTTTGTCCTTCTAAACTCTTTCCTTGGAACTAGAAACTGAGGCTTTGAGGAATAAAATAATTAGCTGCTGAATTAAGACTAGGATATAGGCTGTGAGGTCCTGACCTTTTCTGGATGCTGAGACCTCTATATTATCCCATATCAGGTTCTTCTTTGTCTGCCAGCTTATCGGAAGGCCATCTCCCTGGCCATTGTTCAATATTCTGGTCAGCATTCTGCGCATTGAACTCCTTGTACCCTGTGGGTCACAGCATCACACAGTCCCCGTGATGGGTTGTGCTGTGCCGGACAGACATCTGCATGTGGTCTCAGGGAGGGTGCTCTCAGCCATGCAGGAACTTGGGTCATCTGAGGAAGAGGCACCCAGTTCCAACTCAGGCTATATTCCCTATTCTGAATGATGAGGGAAAATCTGGCCCATTCTTTTTTCCCAGGAAAGTACAGAAAGAGATTCGGGCCTAGGAGCGGTGTCAGCTGTGTGACTGCTTCTGTCTGTCAGCCAAGGGGCAGGCACATGACTCTCCAGTTGTCTTTCCCTGCTGGGTTGCCAAGGTCACAGGACTGGGGAGGGATGCTCTTTGAATGGGCAGTGCCAGTGCTCCAGCAAAAAGCTTTTAGAGACCTCTTTTCTGGTTTTTAGTAGAGGCTGTCTGTATGGGGCTGGTAAGGGAAGACCTCTGACCTCTTACTATGCCTGTGGCTTTAGGAGGTAAAGGTATCGAGCCCTGACTACCCTGAAAGGAACAGGGAGAATGTGATGGAGGACTTCCTGAAAAGAATCGAGTGCTACAAAGTCACCTACCGACCCCTCGACCCCGACAACTATGACAAGTAAGGTTTAAGGCTGCAGTTGGAAGGGGTTGAGGCACAAGTCTCGTCTAGGACAAGAGCCTTCCTCCTCTGTCACTAATATCTTCTGGTAATCTAGACATGTGCTGTGTGTGTTATTCCAAGGAGATGAGATATGGGTCTGTGGCATTTGTGTGCATTGCATCTTACACTGAAATTCTTCCTTTTTTTTTTTTTTTTTGTCTTTTTTGGAGACAGGGTGTCGCTCTGAAGTTCAGGCCGTCCTTGAGCTCACTTTGTAGCCCAGACTGGTCTTGAACTTGCATCTATCCTCCTGCCTCAGCCTCCCACGTGCTGGGATTACAGGCATGCGCCACAACGCCTGGCACACAGAAATCTTTTCATCATCAATTTTCCTCTCCATTCTCTACAGCAAGATTTTTCTATCTCAGCATTATTGACATTTGGAACTGGGTAATTCTGTTCTGTAGGTCTGTCTTGTGCATTGTAGGATATTTAGCTGTATCTCTGGTGTCTACCTACTAGATGCCAGTAATACATCCAAGTTGTGAGGACATTACCAAATAATGCCCGCCCCCGTGGAGGCAGAATCAACCCAGACAAGAATCATTGCTCCAGATCAGTAATTCTGAGCAAGGTATTATAGGTTACCCTTAGAGACGTCATCAGTTTTGGGTCAATTTTTAAAATTTTGTATATAAATGTGTCTGTATGTATATAAATACATATGTTATATATGCTATGTGTAGCTTTATATATGCTATGTCACATACAACACATTACATATAAATATTAAGTACTCAATTTATATATATATAAATATATATATTTATGTTTTATATACAAAGCCCTTAAGAACCTGCCTAACTCAGAGAGAGATGTCTGATTGTTGCTGTCATTACTCTGATAGTGTCAGTTGGTAGTATATAGAATATAGTGTGCCATGTTCTTTACAGTATAGATTAACTTGCCATGTGTGATGTATAAGAGCTATAGCAAAGTGTCAAGCCCATGTTCATGAAAGAAATGTACACATGGAAACCTGTGGGACCTGGACCTATGAAAGAGCAGGCCTTCAGGGTAATTAACAGCTCTGTTCAAATACAAATACAGCTGGGCAGCAAAGCAAATGGTGAGACCAGTGTATGCAGCAAACTGTTAGATCAAAGACGTGGCCTGTGCATCGTCTCAAACCTCTCATTTTCTTCAAATGGGTTGTCCAGAGTTGTAGTATTCAGAGCTATTCACTTAATACAAAGTTGCAAAACCATGCCCCTAGATGTGGCACAACAGAATATTCTTCAGGAATAACAGGTATTCTAAGTCCTACATGAAAAGCATTCTAGAGGAGTATCTGTATATATGAGTACAGTATGCATGTTTATAGATTTTTACCTCTGGTAGTGGGGTGATACATGATTTGCATCATTCTGTCTTTTTCCTGAATTTTTTTGGGGGGATAAGTTGTTACTTTTATATTAAGAAAAATCTTATAATGGCCACAAAGTAGACAGTTTTTAGAAGTGCTCTTCTAAGAGGCCTGGTTAGGTAGACATAGGGAGTGAGCTGCATCCGGTCTGTGGTTCTGCTGCTTTGGCCTCCCTCCTCATTGCTGGTCATGCTGTGTTCTGCCCAAGTCTTGCCCGCCTCAGAGGGGCCTGTGCTTCTCATCAGATTCTGGGCTTGGGAAAAGCTTGGCATCATCTAGCATGGAGGGACTGATGGGAAGCTCACTTCGCACACTCCGTCAACTGCACGGCACTGTGCGGGCCCTGCGGAGATGGTGTGGGCCAACTACAAGTCCAGGAAATTGTCCTGCAGCTTGAAGGAGTAACCCTACCATTTGGTTCTGTGAATATGGGGAAGACCGGGGATGGAGAGCTGCTGTGGGGCTGAAAGTCACTATGGAAACCCTTTTCCCCTTACTCTTAGTCTCAAATTTCCTTACCTTGGAATTTCTTTTTCTACCCTGTCCTAGGGATCTTTCTTTCATCAAAGTAATAAATGTGGGTCAGCGATTTTTAGTTAACAGAGTCCAGGACTACATCCAGAGCAAGATAGTCTACTACCTCATGAATATCCACGTCCACCCTCGCACCATTTACCTCTGCCGGCATGGCGAGAGCGAGTTCAATCTTTTGGGGAAGATAGGAGGCGACTCTGGCCTCTCCGTGCGTGGAAAGCAGGTGAGTATTTGGCCAGCAGGCTGGCTTTCTTGGGCTTAGAGATAGAAGGGCATGGTGGAGGTCATCTATTTTATCCCCTTCTTAAATCCCACTGGGGCTTAGGCTATAGTTTCAGACAGGCAAGTGCTAAATGTTTTCTTGCTCAGTGCATCTAATTGATTTAAAATGTGGATAACGTGGGTACATTTTTGCTGTGATCATCCAGCTATCATGTATTTGTTGGACATGGCTTGTGTTCCTACACAGTACAAGGTGCTCTAGTTCCTGTTCAGTTCCTCTTGGGTTTATGTTTTCTTCACGGCAAACAGATTGCCCATGAAAGGCTGAGTTCCCAGTATGTGTGTTCTTTTTTAAATTTTTATGTTGAAACCCCAGTTTTCTCAGGCTCTAAGGAAATTTCTGGAGGAACAGGAGATAGCAGACCTCAAAGTATGGACAAGCCAGTTGAAGAGGACAATCCAGACTGCCGAGTCTCTTGGAGTAACCTACGAGCAGTGGAAGATTCTGAATGAGATTGATGCTGTGAGTAGGAGTCTTGGATTCAGGCAGAAACTCTCAGAGTCATGAGTTGGACAGTTTTACCTACAAAACACCAGAGCTACCTGGAAGGACGCCAAACCTGGAGTCATTTGGGAGTTGAGGGAAGAAGTAGGGACAGTTGTACCCACAAGCAGGACTTCCTACCCTTGCCAGTGGTGAGACCCAAATCCACTTCTGCCCCGGCCACTCTGGCACCTGGGGAGAATAGGGCTAACAAGGACTTACTTTGTTCCTTTGTGTATTTTCCTAATGAGAAAAACAAATAGTTAACTACTCAGTTCTTTAATTTCTGCTTAGATCATCTGGCCAGCTATTCTGGAAAAGTCCTTCACTAAATTTTCCTCTCTATCCCTGAGCACAAAGCAGACATTTCTTTTTCCTTCCTTGCTCATTGCCTTGCCTCCTCTCTGCAGTGGCTGTCACCCTGAGACACCCTGTGGCGCTCTAGTCACAGTCACTCACAGTACATGAAGGGACCCGGTATAGGGCCTGACGTGTAGTAAGAAATCAGTGTTCTTCGTCTTCCTTTGGGTGGGTCAGGTGGGCCAGTCTTTCTCCTGAAGCCAGCGTGGCTCCTTGCAGGGCGTGTGTGAGGAGATGACGTACGCAGAGATTGAGAAGCAGTACCCAGAGGAGTTCGCACTTCGAGATCAAGACAAGTATCTGTATCGATATCCTGGTGGGGAGGTGCGTCTCCCTTCATGTGAATAACTGCCCGCTCCTTTGCTGGGGTCGGGGGTTCACGTTCATTTGATGGAGTGATGTGATTCTGGGGATGGGTGTGGAAAGGGCAGTCTAGGCATCATTTATCTCCTACCTTTGACTCATGCTGTGTTGATTTCAGCTCAGGTGCTCAGAGCAGGCCTTATTTGTGAAGCTGTCTTAGGAAAAGGGAGACAGATACCTTATGTGTTGAGAATGTTGTAGGATCAAAGTGATCTTTTTTACTTCTTCTTTTCCATTCTGCTTCCTCAGTCCCATCCCCCCCAAGCAGATATTGCAGGTCTGCCACTGCTGCTCTAGAATGTTTAAGCAAAAGTAAATAAAACAGGTTGACAGAGGTCCAGGAAGTTCTAGACATCTATTGTTGTTTTATACCCTATTAATCTGTCAGAAAAAATCCCCTCCAGTGAAAACAAAGTTGAATTCAAACTTCCTTTTCTAGACCTGTGGTTTGCTTGGTCTTGAAATCTGAGTATTCTTAGGATACCATAGTTAGGACAGTTGGTAGGCAACACAGAGTTGCTGAACCTCCAGGAGGAAAGCCGACTGGGGAATTGGCCTCTTGACTCCGGGACTCAGCCGCCCCCTGGCTGCCAGCTTGTTCCTGGCTCCCTACTAGCCTGCCCCACTTCCCCCAACAGTCATACCAGGACCTGGTGCAGCGGCTGGAGCCTGTCATCATGGAGCTGGAGCGGCAGGGCAATGTCCTCGTCATCTCCCACCAAGCTGTCATGCGCTGCCTTCTGGCCTACTTCTTGGATAAGGGCGCAGGTACTGTTTGTGGGAAGGGCTAGGGGACACACGCATTGAGAGGGCTGGACTCGTGGCACCATGAATTCGAGCAGGTGGACTTCCCCCTCTTGCTCAAGTTAGGGTAAATCAGCTGCAGCCATCGGGGCAACTACTTGCTGAATTCATTGTGCTGCTATGAAGGCCCCAGTGGAGGGGCTGCTTGATCCTGCTGGGTAGAGGACCAGTGTTAGCTGACACTCCTGATAACATCAGCAAAGTGGTTGAATAGTCCCGGCTTGTCACACTGGCTACTAGGAGGGTGGCTTCTTAGAATCATCTTCCTCCTCTGGCTTGAGGGTGAGGCAGCTGTTTCCCAGTAAAAGCAGTAGGGAAGTGTACTACCACCTTCTCCTTTCCTTCCCTTTCCCATCTTCCTAGCTGCCAGAAGCCTGCAGAATGAATGGCCTTTAGATACTCAGGTGGGCTACAGTCTTCCCTCTCACGGGGCCCTGGCTATAGTACTTATTCCTCTTTTGCCTTTGAGGAAGGATCTATAATGACTTTATTTCCTTTCTTCCTATTCAGTGGCTTGATAATTGTGTGGGGCTTAGGGGCGGAGCTGCGCACCTCTAGATGGTTAGGGTTGAGAAACTGCTTATGAGAACCTTAGACTCTCTTCGGCTGTGTTGGTTGTGCTCCACAGTCCCAGCACACTTTCCTCACCTGGTCCTTCTCTTTCAGACGAGCTGCCGTACTTGAGGTGCCCTCTTCATACCATCTTCAAACTTACCCCCGTGGCCTACGGTAACTATGAGCTCAGGGGTTGCCAGGAGGTGGGGACAGAGGAAGGTCAGAATGTGTGAGTTTTCTAGAAGCTTGATTTTATAACCCCCGGACACCAGGGATTTGCCATTAGTATCTTGCACTTTGAAAGAGTTGCATGTATATGTGTGTGTATTGGGGAGTATGTACACACCTTGGTGGTAGGCTTCCCCTGCTGAACCCGAGGAACTCTTCTTTGAGCTTTCTCTGAAGGCTTCTCTTTCTTCTGTTTTCTCAGGGTGCAAAGTGGAAACAATTAACCTCAACGTGGAAGCTGTGAACACTCACCGCGATAAGCCAACCGTAAGTGTTTGCCCACAGACCAAAATGGTGGCTTCCTTCCTTGAGTCTGTGAGGCCTTGACTCCCAGGAGACCTGGGCTTTCTTTTATGTACAGTAGGAAAACAGATCCAGAACTCAGGGCCTTGGTAGTATGCGTGCTTCTAAAAGGAAAAGATGGGAGAATTATTAATTTTTAGTTAGTGCCTCTTTTATGAACCTTAACCTTGAAAGTTGGCTCCTGGAAATTCAGTTAAATATGAACAGTGTTAGGCAGAAGTGAAATGCAAATCCCCTCTCACCCCCACGATCCAGATGAGGGTGGCGGGTGGTTGCTTGGTCTGTCCCTGGTAATCTGTGTGGTCCTCCTAAGTAAAGCCCTTCCTTGTTGGCGGCATTTCTGCTCTGCAGTGTGACACTCTTGGGTGTCATAACCTGCTACAACCTTTTAGCCCCCGGAAGAGAGGAGCTCAGACCCCGTCCCGTGTGAAGCCCTGTCTGTGTGCAGAGAGAGGAGGAAGGAAGCAGTGTGGTTGTGAGCATTGTTTAACCTTTCTGAGCGAGCCTTGGGCCTGGCTTTCATGTGTGTGGTGTCCCTCCATTTCCAATCAGAACAACTTCCCCAAGAACCAAACCCCTGTAAGGATGAGAAGGAACAGCTTTACACCTCTGTCCAGTTCGAATACAATAAGGCGTCCAAGAAATTACAGTGTTGGGAGCCGGCCCCTCAAGCCCCTCAGCCCTCTTCATGCCCTGGACACGCAAGACGGGGCCGACCAGCCGAAGACCCAAGTCAGCATCCCGGTGGTGTAACCGTGTGTGTCCCTCCAGCCCTGGCCTCCTGTCCTTGCTACTAATCACCAAGGAGTCACTTAACTTTACCACACCTCTTCCCTCAACAACTCACCATTAACCTTACCACAGAGTGTGAGATGCTGTGTGTGTAGACCAACTAGGTATTCTCCAGTTTGAAACATTTCTTTACCCAAAGGCAAGAGGGCCAGTTGGATTTTTTTAGGACAGATACCTAGATGGAAGCAGGCTGGAGGAGGCGGGGAGGATGCGTGCTCCCCTCATGCACTTGGTTCTTCTCTCCGTTCCCTGTTGTCTAAACTCACTAATACTCGGCTTGTGGAGACGAGTGGAGGGAGACAGGCCCGTGTGTCCTTCACCTTTGTCTCCTTAGCATACGTTTTACTCACTTGACCTTCTCCCTCTTCCATCTTGCCTTTGCTCAGTCCTGTGGAACGCTTGGCACTGTGGTTTCTAGGAAGAGAGGAGAGTTAGTCGGGGAGAAGTCCAGGCCCCACTGATGCTCCCTGCAGCGGGCCTGCATGGATCTGGATGGGGGAGTCTTTCCTTTCCCATCCCACCCCTTCCTTTCCACCAGGTCCTGCAAGCATCAGCCCAGGCTGCGGAACATCCGCAGAATGCTCTGGAGCTTGCAAGTGGACCAAGGGTGAGAGTTCCTGCCTGTTTTCATGAGAAACAATCCTGAGTTTTTGATACCTTGAGGGTAGCTGGCTCTAAGGATGTGGGAAATGTCTTGGTTTGTGTTTTGAACTTAAAGAGCCATGTGTGGAGTGCTCTTTGGCTGGCAGTGAAGTAGGTAGTTTGTAGATTTTGCAGGGCTCTCCATTCAGAGTCAGATCTTTTACCCACAGCTTGGTCCTCTGCCAGTCGCTGCAAGTTTCCTGCCAAAGCCAGTGACCTCAGGCTGTGTAGAAGGATGGAATTAGATTTAAGAGTCACCTCTGATACCTGAATCCCTGCAGGCAAAAGGTAGAACAAAGTTCACTAAATCTGCTCATTATTTTCCAATGGTTGTCAGCACACGCTCCTGAAGTTAATTTTTTTGACACGAGCAATTGTTTTTTCTCCAAACATGGCAAATCTTTAATGAATTTAATCTCCCTTGTTGCGCTACTCTTTGTAAATGAGGAGAAACAGCCTCATCATAATGCCCTGAGGAGTGCCATGGCATCTACTCTTGGCTTCCTGTTGTCTATTTGCTTGTCATCTCATTTCCTTTGTAGGGTTAGACAGGATTTGTGCAAAGAAGGACTTTTTAGCCCCTTGGTGCCCATGATGGCTTTCCATTTCTCTCAGTTTTGTATACAAATTTTTAATGAGCTTAGAGTTCTCGTGAGATTTTTAGATGAGATACATGAATCCCTGCCTATCAACTTGTCTTTTAGAAGCACCTACTGAGAGCAGGTAGCTATTTTCCAAGGATCTTTTGTTTCGCCAAAGAAAAACTTTCATCCTGGTTCTCAGGAGCGTTCCTTAGAATCCCCTTTAGATCTTCTGAAGCAGACATGTACTGTGCCTGGGTCCGTCTGAGTCAGGCTGAATACTGACTCCAAACCTCTGGGCTCTGAGTCTGGACATGTGTGTGCTTAAATAGCTCCCTCATAATTCTAATTCATACTCCAGGTTAAGAACTCCACCCTAGGAAGCCGGGCAGGAAAATGCCAGAGCAGTAGTTTCCTGGACAAAGCATGCACCTTGGAGTTCTGAATTCTTGGTTTGGAAGAATTCTCTGGAGTTAGATGTTGGAGCATATTACAATGTTAAAGGAAGTAGCTCCCTCAAGGGCAGACTGCTGTGTTTTAAAGGCTTATTCTCAGCCCTAGTCTCATGGTTTCCCCTTCCCATTATGGGTGATGTGGAATAACTCCAAAATACAGTAGGTGTCATTGGATAAAAGCTGGTACTTTAAGGATCCTTTGGAGAGATTCTGAGATACACGCTATAGGCTGGTGAAGGTGTCATCATAGGCAGCTGATCTCGGCCTTGTGCTTGCCTAGATTCTTTTCGAAATTGTGTCCAAGACATAGGGCAACCTGTGTTCCTGTCAAGCCCTTGCACAGTGTCTTTAGTAGTGTCTTCGCTTGTGTAGCTTTGGGCTGGATGGGGGAAGGACACACACAAGTAGAAGAAAATCCTTGCCCCAAAGAAGGTTATTTTGAGAGGCAGAGCATGCAGTGTACTTGGACATTTACGGAAGACCAGTGCGCCGAGTTGGGAAAAGCTGATGCTGCAGTGTGGTACAGATTCCATCCATTGTTCTCTCGTCCTGTGGCCTGAAACCAAAAGGAGGGGTGATCCTCTTACCCTCCGGACAGGAGAGATTGGACATTGAAAGCAGCAAGTTTCAGTTTCCTTCAGTTTTTAGAGCAAGCTCCCTTCAGAGAAGCTTAGGCTGGACAAGCCAGGAGAACAGAGTACATTGGAGCTCTTATCCTAGATTTTAGAGAAGTTCTACTTCCCATCTTTTATGTTCTATCCTTCTCTCCCTTTGTACTTGAATAGATTGTGGTGGTAGACACACCTTACTCTGCTGTGTCTGTATCACACATCCTAAAAGAAAGGATGGCCTCCGAGTACCCTTTGCAGAAGCTTTAAATGTTGGTATGGGGGAAATGGGTGAAGACTACTGTAGAAAATTGGGAAAAGAAAATCTAATATAGTCTGTTTTCTTTCTCTTGCCTCAAAAGTGAGTGAGGAAGCCTGGGCCGGATTTAAAAGAGGAATCTAACATTTGTTAGAGAATCCCTTTCAATTTTCATCTCTAATTTTCAAATCGGGATGTAGCTCTTATCGGTATTGTCTTTTATTATTGGTAAAGGGATATTTTTTACACAGAGTTGGAAAGTAGAATAAGAGAATCTTGTAGGAACATGCTTTGTGCTACTGACCCCCTGATATCGTTGTCTGTGATTTTTGTTGTTTCCCAAGACATTAGAGTTAGAGACATAATTTATTCATACTCTTGGACCAAATGGTTGAATATTTTGGCAAGGATCCAGGTAATCCCCTTTGCAGTCCACTTTTGATCTTCAGACTTTGGCATTTGAGGAAACATAAGCAATTCCTTTTGAGAAATATGTCCATTCCTGGTGCAAAAAAAAAGTCCATCTAGGGGCCCAAGATCTGGGTTCAGAGAAACTCAGTGGTGCTTGGGGTGGCCTAGAATCAAGGGAGACTCGCCCGTTATGAGGGCAGCTGTAGCTGGGTGCAGTAACCTCATGCGCAGTCCATCGTCCTGGCTAAGCCAGAAGCCATGTTGTATCGTATGCCTTTTGAGTCTTGTATGTGTTTTATTATTTTTTCTTTAATCTTTTTTAGTTTTGGATACCGGGAATCAAACTCAGGACCTTGTGCTTGCCAGGCAGGCGCTTATGCCACTGAGCTATATCCCCAGCCCCCTTGTACGTGTTTTAAAATTTTTTTATTTTTTAAAATTTAAAATGGAGTCAGGTTGCAACATCAACTAAATCTTTGACTTTCCCGAGAGGTGACAGACATTGGAAGTGTATTCAGGAACTGACTTTAGACTTGTGTCCAGAGGACTTTCTCTAGAGGGGCCTGTAAGTCCACAGTCTGCTGTTTTCTCATTGTACTGCGTGATAGTATGTGCACATTATTGTAATTCTCTGTCTCATGTGTTCTACAAAGAAAAGATCTAAACACCCCACCTTTCTTCCTTTTGGGGAAGTCCTGTGTACTATTTTTCTTATATAGTAGCAGCCAAATTCTTGTGTTTCTGTAAGAGATGTCAGTTGTACATCACTTGTACAATGTCTCATGAAGTCCGCTAAGGGAATACCTGTTCAGAGCCTGAAGTTGTGACCTCTATTTGAAGTCATCTTACCCAGTCCCCTGGTTCAGGGCAGGGCTTCACTTTCACCATCCGTTCCCAAACCTTCTGTGTCCTGCCCTTACCTGGTTGTGAGTGGAATGTAGTGTTCCATTGGAGAGTACTGCTGCTTTTAGTCTGCCATGTGTTTGGCTTTATTCCTAATCTAAGAAGTAAAAATGCAAATGAAATCATATATTCAAAGATGGATGTTAAGAGTGGGCAAAAATATTCCTTCCAGTAACGTTCCCACTGGACGCCTGTGACCAATATTTACCTACTTACGGTTTTTGTATCTGCATTGCTTGTATACGTTTCTTTAATGTTGAAGTAACAAGATCAACTCATTGTGATATGGTGGTGGTTTTCCTATGACGGAAGCAAACGACTGATCACAAATAGTGCCGTTTGGGAGGAACTGGGGTCGGGTGGGCCTCACAGGTTTGGATGGAAATGGCTGGGTTCGGAAGCTTGGGCACAGAAGTCTACTGCAGATTTTCTAGGCACGGTTCTGTTGAAAGTAGGAGCATAAATCTTCAGCAGAATTCATACTTTATCAGTCTGTGACACAAAGTATTTCCCTCAGATCCACTTATGGTGTGTATAACTGTATTTGAAATGTTGGGGTGTGTATGTGTAGAATGGGCAAATAAAATTATTGAGTAACTTGAACCTACCAGAAGGCTTCCGGATTTTTTGTTTTGTATTTTGGGTTGTGTCTCCCACCCTCTCCTTGCCTCTAAACTTTCCCCTCGTGCTTCACAGTGCCTGAGACTTGGGCGGCCAACACACGTTCTCAGTGTGAGTGGAGTCCGTGGTATAGGCTTGGCTCTCTGCCACCACCTGCTGGGCAAGACTGGAAGGACACCATGGAAAATGTGAATTCCATTAATCATTATACTTTTGGGACCTATACAAGAATTAACAAAAAATTACACTTGACTATATGGTACCATTACTCCAGTTAGCTGCATATAACTCATTATGAGGAAAAACCTTGGAGACCTTTTAGGATTTAGTGGGCTGTCAAATACACCATGCCTGTTTCTAGAGAGAGATCATAGCCAGTGGCACAAAATGGTACTTAACCTCTGGAACAGGAAATGCATGTGGAATTTTTCACCTTTCTCATGTCTTATTCCTTGTTACCCTTACAAGGACCAGGACCTCATTAAAAATGCAGGAACTCAGGCCTTAGAACAGCTGAATCAGAGCCTTCATTTTAGCAGGATTACCTACCACGTGATCCAAAGGCAGCTGTAACATTTGAGAAACGCTGTTCTAGGGGGAAGAATTTCTCACAAGTAAAACGTTAAATCCCAGCTATGGTAAGAAGTTGACTTCTGATGACTGATTTTAGAGCGGACTGGGGTAGCTACATCGTCAGTAGGCAGCTCCTAAGAACCCACGTGCCCCGACTGCAGTGTCACTGTCTCGGCATGTCTTCTGGCTGATGTCGCCTGCATGCTCTTTTTACCACAGGCGTCCTGACCACTTCTGCTTCCTATCTTGAGTCTGTAGCTTATGGTTCAGGACTGAAAGAAATGCCTGGCCTAACATGGGCACAAGTTGGGCTTCTCGAGGAAAGAAAGCCATTTGAGTTTGCCCGGCTTCCAGAGTTCAGGCATGTATGCAGCCACATCAGTCAGTCCGTGCATGTGTGTGGCCATGGGGGTAAGTGGACTGGAGTAGTGGGGGTACTGGGGAGGGATCTTACTCTGCTCTCCTTTGTTCGTCTCTTTGTTGTGGTATAATAGCTTTGCCTCTCTCCCTCTTTGACTTCTAGGCAGTGGATACTGTGCTGGCTGGGCATAGACGCCCTTCCATGGCATCCCTCACATTGCACTCATGATGTGGAGGCAGAGCCAGACCTCTCCGAGGGACAGGATCTACCACAAAGCCTGGGATGTCAGCCTAGATCAGGAAGTTAAGCAGGGACTGCATGTTTGGGGCCACCAAAATGGGGCCTGGAAAAAAATCACTGTATTTCTGCCCCTCATGTTAATGGGAATATCAGTTACACTGTGCCCTAACGCATTTAGCAGCCTGAATCAATTAGCTTTTATCTTCTCTTTGCTGGGTTTGGCCTAGGTTTGCAAATATTCTGTGTAGGCATTTAACAGCCTACCTATGACTGCATTGCTGTCTGACTGTTCTTTGCCTAAAGTACACATACACCTCTTCGAATTTGGTTTCCAAGTGAGAAAGATGAACTCCAGCAAACTGTTTCCATGCAATAGAGCTGGTCTTTGCATCCACTGCAGGCGAGCGGGCTGGAGTCCAAGATGTGTGTGCTGGCCACCACCTTTTGCCACGTTGGGAACAAGAGGAAAATTGCCAAGGGAATGGAGGGAATCTCGGAAAGTCAGTCCCTGAAACCTTCTGTGGTAATGGATCAGCAGTGTCAGCAGCACCCTTTTTGTTTGGAAAATTTTTCTCAATTCAGGCCCTGCAGGACAGGGTCTGACTGCAACTCCCTCCAAAAGACCCCTGACTTTAAGCTTTCTTTTTTAGCTACTGTATTTTCTGTGTCCCATAGCTAGAGAGAACTGCTGCAGTTACCCCAGATATAGGGGAGGAGGGCTGGAAAGAGAAGTGGGTTTCTGTTTGCATTTCGTGAAAAAGTAAGGACAGCTCCTTTGACATCACTTTAGAGAGTTTTTCTGGCTTCAGTGCAGAAGCCTCTGTGTCCTTCAGTGAGTCAGTCATGGAGACGTGGTCTTCAAGAAATCTTCGACAGTATGTTGAAAGCAGTGGTTTTGTGGTGCCCGCCTCTGAGCTCCTTGTCACCGTCGTGATCAGCTGGTCTCTCGTCACACTGTGCAGGAGCAGGGGAAAAGCAGGGCCTCGATGCGGTCCGCTGGCTTCCCTGCAGATAAACCCAGTCGCTGTTCCCTGGCCCAGGGATTGTCGGGTGGACAAACCGTTCTCTGTAAATGTGATTTGAACCTTGCTACTCCTGAGGAAGAATGTGGAACCCCCAAAGGATATCACATCTTAGAAACAAAATCTATTTTTTTAAAGAAAGCACATTTTTAGCTTTAATTTTTTTCCTTTTAACTCAGTTGTTCACTTGCTGGGCAAAAGTCCAAGCAGCAAGAAAATAATGAAATGTAGCTTTTTGAAAATGGTTCTTTCCTATGTGGATGGTGCAGGAGACTTTGCTGAGATGGGATGAGCTGGGCTGCAGGCAGCTCAGCATCAGCAACTTGAATCTGATTTTATATGCACAAAGCTGCCTTTGGAAAGGCTCCTCCGCCGCATTGTAGCAGGTCATTTCTGTCTGGCTGTTTGGAGCAGGCTGTACTGCAGTGATTTGTTCTTGTGGTGCAGGTTTCCTTCTGCATCTCTCCTGTCTTCTGATGATCAGACAATGTTTTTATTTATTCTATCCATTTTAAAGTCCTCATGTGAACATTTGCATGTATTTAATCAGAATGTAATGTAATTTATGTCATCAGTTTTTTTGGTAGATATCTAGGTGGCTTGAATATTTAATTCTGTTGTCTATATTATTACCTTAAGTTTCTAGGATATAGATATGTTTTCTGTAAAAAGATAATTATCTTAAGACAGTGTGGATTTTTTGGAAAACTTCCTTTCTCATTGACTTTTTATTATAAGCCAAGGGATGTATTTCTCTGGAGAAAAGTTAATCTGGATAAATAAAATCATGCTAAAATATTTGAGTCGCATGTATTGCTTTAAGAAAATATAATAAAAGTTATTTTCAATTAAAAATGCAATTAGTTTTTAAAATCACACACAAAAGAAAAAAAAAAATAACATGAGTGATGGCAGTGCACATCTGTAATCCCAGTACTTGGGAGGCTGAGCAGAAAGATCACTGTGAGTTCGAGGCCAGAAGGGCCACAACCCGAAATCTGTCCCTGGACTTCAGGGTGGGAAACCAAGAGCTAGGTAATAATCCTCAGGTTTCCTTCTCCATTGCTTTCCTTTGACATGTTAAACATGTATACAATCAAGTGATATGTTTATCTATACTTGTAAAATTCAAAACACTCTGAAAATGAAGTTTTCTTTTAAATCATTTAACAGTGAAACCTGCCTTGAACTATGTGAAGATATCTGTGGTCTGTATGTCTTGATTAGTGTGAATATTTTTATATTTCATGGAGAAATAATAGACAATAGTATATGCAATGTCCGATCTCTAAAGTCCTGATATCTGAAGTAAGCCATCGAGATGGATGATTTGTAGTCATTACCTATAATACATACTCCATTTTATGTCCATATTTATGTAAGGCTAAGCTAAATTTTCTTTCCCCTGTTAAATCTTATTGTGCAAACATGAACAGATATTCCTCAGTAGGACATGTATTAAGAAAAATTATTCAAAATTTGAAATTGGACAAAAAGATCATTGGAATAAATTTTCAGTGAATGGGCATTTTTTAGCAGACTGAGTATTACTAATTCCTTAGGGATATGCAACTTTGATTAATTTTCTATTTACTCAGTTCTTTTATAACTTTCCAAGAATAGAGTTTGATTTGTAGCAAATGGTTGAAAATGCAAATCATTTTAATCTGAGAATTATGCTAATTATATCCGATCACAAAAAAGCAAGTGAAGTTTTTCCATTTTGTTTCAGTTTTTCTCTTTCACTCTGTACACAAGTCCTCAGATCTAACTCCGCTTTTGTTACTCCTCGCTCTCACACATGTTTGAGTTACATGTGTAAATAAACTGATTTTTCTCTCAGAGAGAAAAGCCAATTCCGAATACTGGTGTTCTGCAGCATATTAACTCATTTTGTATTTTTACAAAATTATTTCAGAAGGCTTTTGATGGACAACAATATACATCTATCTTCATTTTTCAAACTCTGAACCAGTTCTAGCATTTTAATGGTTCCTCATAAAACCTTTGACAATTCATTTCATTTTTAACTTTGAAAGCTATAAGAGGTCCTTATACTATAGTAGTTCACGTATTAGTTGAAAAGATAACACATGAAAAAATATGCAATAAATAATAAATGATCAATATGCACTTCGGGCGCTTTGGTGGAGCTTCTGGATGCCTTCAATTATTTCCGCATTGCTTTGATTCACTTAGCAGACAACTTTGTGGTATGAAGCACATGGAAAGGAATAATTAAAAAAATCAAATGAGACACCCTAAAGTTTACAAATTCTAAAGTTGTTAATAGTTTAGTGTTAGAATATAAAGGAAGAAAAAAAAAAAACCCATACCTTCTGTGACCTGTGAATTAAACTAACAAGAGACAGATAACAGAAGAAAAACAATCAGTACATTTACACGTGTAACTCAAATACGTGTGAGAGGGAGGAGTAACTCAAGAGTACAGTTAGGTCTGAGGGCTCCTGTACTGCCTTAATAGGTGAAGAGTGAAAGAGAAAAGTACTGACGGGAAAACAGATGATTTTTTAAAAGATAAATAGGTTTTCAGGAGAACAAACAGGAGATAAGAAATTTGGTAATATTTGTTCATGTGGGTGTGAATGGTTTCTCTGTCAGCTTTAAGGCTATAAAACTCCCCCGAAGAAGAAATGTGGGATGGATCTTAATTTCGTTCTCTCTTCAGGGAGTAGATCTGCACTGAGAAGGAATTTACATCTGCCTCATTTCCCAGACGCTGCTGCTGTGAGCGAGATAAGGGAACCCCCAAGGCAGTTTCCCCTCGTGTATTTGCTGAGTCACGGACACTTTCAACGGAAAATAATCTTTCTACTCACTCGGCATATTTGAGAGTGGCATGGTCCAGTCTTTGTCAGAAGAAAGAAAGAATGAGATCATTACAAAGTACCGATAATGGGTGGAGAAGAGAATAATTATTTGAGACCTTACTGTGTCCTTAGATGCCTTATATTTATTAAAACCTCAAATGTAGTTTTATCCCAGTGTCATAACTGGAGCACAGAGAATAAACTGTGCTGCAATAGTCATGAGCAAGATGCTGTGAGAATTGCCAAAGCAATCCCGCATGCTCTGATTCCTGAGACCAAAGCAAGCCCTTCACCTCCTTCTCCATTTATTTGGTCATCTGTGGACTCAGGTCAAACCTGCCTCAGGAAGAACTACAGGAAGCCTGGCACAGCCCTTGCGTATGCAGACACTGTGTCTCTGCAGGACTTTGGAGCGCTCAGGTTTGGAATCCGGACCAGCTCTTTGCTGTGTATCTGGACAGAGAGACAGGTAAGGTTAATTAACTTCCTGGGGCTTTTAGTCTCAGCACGGCTTACAGCTTTGGATGTCTGACATTTGGGAAAGGAGAGGAAGCAGCACTTAAGAGGTAGGTCTCAGAGTTGGGTCTTACCTGGGAAGAACCATTGAATGGCATCCTGTCCTCTCCTCCTAGTAGCCAGTAGAGTTGCTGAAGGTGGATTATAAACACAAGCAAATATTGACAGAAGTCAGGTCGTGGAAAGACCATTTCACCCATGGCTACTGGGGAAGGAGAAACCTGCAGTTAAGACAAGGGACTGGGGCACTGGGTTTACATTGCCTGAAGCAGGGAAATTTCTGGAACCAAATTTTAAAACTCTTCACTTTCTTGCCATCTCTCTGTGTTTTTGCAGTCCCTGTCCACACTAACTTCCTTACTCCTCTCCTTATTTCCTGTTGCAGGATTTTGGGGGTGTCTTTTATTTTTGTTTTGTATTTTTTTTCCAGTTTTCCAAGGGAAGAAAAATCAATATAACCTTCTGCTAGGAGGGATGTGGATGTGGTTGGTCTGGTTTTAAGTGGTATTAGAAGATCTATTTGGATCCAAGCTAGCTTTTGGGCTGGGTTAATCCAACGTGGGTCAAGTCTTTGGCACGAGATGTTCTGCTGGGTTGTGCGCTGCCTTGTGTTTGGATGGCTGATTTCTGCTTCAGATGGTATGTATGCTTTCCTTAAACTTAGCCTATGGGACTCTTGTTACCAGTTTGTGGGTTATGAGGCATTCTGTTTAGAATTTTAGTGACATTTACAGTTATTTTTTTCTTTTTATTGAAAAATCTCAAATTAGTTTGCGTAGTGCTCCATACTCACGAGGGGCTTAGTATATATTTAATGATGACCATGCTGTACAAAAAGAGCGGTTACTAATAGCTTGCTCCTGTGGGAGCAAAACAAGCACTAACTTCAAAATCCTGAGAGGTGGCAGCTACTCTGAACTCCAGGAGTGCTGAGAGGGGCCGTTTTGTGAGTGGACACCTTGTGCCTAAATTTGAGTGAAATGCCCATCATCTTTTTGGAAGAACCATATAACTGAAAATCTCTGGAAAAGGAGGGACAGGGAGGTGTATGGACGTGGACGAGAACAAGAATCAGAATCAGTGATCTGGGGGCTGGGGATTTAGCTCAGCGGCAAAAAGCGCTTGCCTGGCAAGCGCAAGGTCGTGAGTTCGGTTCCCGGTACCAGAGAAAAGCCAAAAAAAAAAAAAAAAAAAAAGAATCAGTGATCTGCCAGAAAGACACATGGATGTGAGAGTCGAACCGGGAGCCTCCTTGCAGCATCCATGGCACCAAGAGTCTGGCTTCCTTTTCGTTCCAGCACAGAGCCATCCAGAAATCCCGCCCGTAAGGAACAGCGTATTCATTGCACAGGAGAAGGAAGGACGGATTCTGGGAACTTACATTTGTATCAAGGGCTACCACCTGGAAGGAACGCGAGTCTTTGTTTCCGATGCCTCTGAGGAGTGGGATGCTTCCGCCACGCAGTGCCGCTGTGAGTTGGGTCTCTCTGCCCTCTGTCACCTCACTGTATCCTTTTATATCCTCCTTCCCATAGGCCACCTTAAAACTGTATTTTGACATTTTCAATTTCTAGGAACCTAGTTTTAAAGCTTTGTAGAAGTGGAACTTCTCTTAGAAGGTACAGGATTAGCTCTTGATCAGTATGAGTTTGATTGAGTTAACAGAATCAATTTACTGTTATGAGAATGATTTTTTTCAGTAGAGCTGGGATCAACCCAAGGACCGAGGTCATGCTAAGCACCTGCTTTACCACTAAGCTACACTCCTAGTCCATAAAAATTTTTTTCACACATATTAATCTTGCTTTTTTCCTTTTTTTCTTATAATTTATTTAATCTCATATTGCTTTAAAAATTCTTGTGTTCGAGCCTGTACTCCCAGCACTTCAGGAGGCTGAGGTAGTAGAATCACAAATTTGAGCCACCTTTGACAACTTAGCAACTAAATGAGACTCTGTCTTCACAATTTAAACAAAAGGGAAGGGGGTGCTGGGGATGTAGCTTAATGTGAAGGCCCTGGATTCAATCCCCATTAGACAAAAAAATTATTGAAAAAACCAAAAGTCTGAAAAATCAAATTAGCATATATATACTCATTTCGTACTTCATCAGGTATCAGTGCATTACTAATCCTGTTCCATCTGTATCTTCACTTTATTATTCTGAAATAAGAACATCAAATCATTTTGTTTCACCCATTATATAACTTCTAAACTAGAAAATAATGATGTTTTTAATTTACAAGTGTGGTGTGTGAGATCAGAGACATGCTCATTGTCACAAAATGTGAGATCCTCTTTGGAGATGGAGAATAATTAGTCCTTATCCTCTTTGTTATTAATATTTAAAAATAGCTGCACTTTTTCTCTGTGGACCCACACCAATATGTTTTCATCATTCATTACTATAAAGAAATTCACATCTTTCTGCATTTTCCCATTTTTCTACGTCATGAAAATAAAAATAAAACCAAAAATGATGAATAAGTGTGTATTTAGCTGGATGAAAGACAAGTCTCGCCTTAACTTGGATTCAAGAATTTGGAGTAATGCATAACAATGAATACACTGTTGGCAGTGTGTAGTTATGGACTTAATTGTGTTTAGGAAATTTGACTTGCAGTTCATGTCCTTCTTGTGCATGATGAAGACTGTTTCTGCCAGACTTAGAGCAACTGGTTTTTTTCTCATCCTGTAGTTTATTACCATGTACCTGTCTTCATTAAAAATGTGCAGCTTTAAGCTCTACTTTGCTATTTTCTCTCTGAAGCCTGAGAGCTCTGGCTTTTGCTGTGGTGGGTGTCAGCCTGGCCTTTTCAGGTCACTGCCTGTTTTCTTCTGCAGTGGGCCACTGTCCTGACCCTGTGTTGGAGAACGGTGAGTTCAATGCTTCAGGTCCCGTGAATGTAAGTGACATAATCACGTTCAAGTGCAATGACCACTACGTCCTCAGGGGCAGCAGTTGGAGCCAGTGCCTTGAGGACCACAGCTGGGCACCTCCCTTTCCCACCTGCAAAAGTAGTAAGTACTGAGCAAAAACACGAATCCCAAAGAGGCTGATTAACAGCATTGCCCTAGGCACTCCCATTCCCTGCAGCACTTTCCTCTTCTCTATATCTGGGAGAAGTTGAGAGTCTGACTGAGGGTGCAGCTTGGGGGAGCAAACCTCAACTCAAAGGCTATGTCCCGGGAAGATGAGCATCCCAGGACCAGCCCATCCTACGCTCCTGCAAAGCAGTGTTTTCTATGTAGACCCCAGATTCATACCATCACCTTCACTTCAAAATTAAACTCTTAAATGACCAGAGCCCTATCCACGCTAGAATTCCTTGATTAACACATGGAAATTATTTCTGCTATTCAGCTTTTGACTGCAGTCTCTGAACTTTTACAGATTCTGTGTTAACTGTTCAATACAGTAGCAGTCTCCTACTTTTTAAATAACTACATATAGATATACCATAATTTATTGTATCTCTCTCATACTGATGGACATTTATTTCCATAGTTTTGCTATTAGGAACAGTGCTGAAATGAATGTTTTATATATCCTCACACCCTTACGTCTATGCTATTTCTTTCTTTCTTTATTTTTGTCTTTTTGAGGCAAGGTCTCGCTATGCAGGCTGGCCTTGAACTAACTTTGTAGCCTAGGCTGGCCTCAAACAGCAATCCTACTGCTTCAGCCTCCGAGTGCTGGGATTACAAGCATGTGCCACCACGCCCAGCTCTATGCTATTTCCTTAGGATATTATTATCCTATTCGTTGAATACTGAAATGTAAAAATAACCCCATTCGCAAGATCTATGTGAAAATTTACTGAAGGGCAGGAACAAAGCTTTAAGAAAAGAAGATGCTTGCCCTGCTCCGGGGACAGGCTGAGTGCTGTGGTGCATCCCTCCCAGCACTGCACATTGACAGGGTGTGGGATCGAGAGTCAAACGGAAGGCAGATAAATAGGAAGTAGGGAGATCTTTTTCAAATGGATGGGGAACAGGATGGAGGGGAGGGAAAGGGGATGGAAAAAGAACTGAAGGGAAAAGTCACGAGAATAGAGTTTCTGCACATGGGAAGGGGACCAAGAGTTGGAAGGAGCACGGAGGAAGAGGAGGGGTAGGGAATGCAAAGAAAACAAAATTACACAATAAATGCAATCACTATGCATGCCAGACATGCAATAATACAAAAGTGTGAGATAGAAAACTAACTTTAAAATCACATTTGGGATTCAGTCTATGTTTCTGGAAAATTAGAATTAGTGTTTATTTATATTTGGCTGGATCAAATGGGAGGAAATGCTTGTCTTATCAGCAAAATGTACAACAATATTATAGGCAAAAGGCAAATTATAGATATTACAATTAATATGCCATCAAAACAGCAATGTATAGGGACAAAGAATTAGGACAGTTTATTTTAAATCCAAGGGAAGCATTTGTATTCAGTGGTAATGAGGTAATAGTCTATTTGGAAGAAGACAAAGCTGGGGCCGCAGCTCATGCTACATGAAAAATATATTCCAATGGATTTAAGCATATTACTATAAAAACAAACGATTGTGTGATTAAAAGAAAACATGGAAGAATATGTGAGGGGACCCTTTTTTCAGCAGTAACATAAGTCTCAGTATTCTTAAGTGAGGAACAAGGACTGATACAACTACATTTTAAAAACAGCAACATCTGTGGTTGCAAAACAGTTGCGTTTCAGATACGCAAAGTGTACCAAGAAGTCAGTGGGGGAAAGACATAGTGGAAGAAGAATGACAAGAATGTGTAAGGATGACAATTCCAAATTATAGCCTCTAACAGCATTTTATTCCCCACGTTTGTTGAACATTACTAATAATTCTGGAACCAGAAAATAAAATTAGATACAAATCTTTTAGTAATCAGATTCATAAAAAAAGAAAGCATGGTTTCATCTAGTATCATTCAGGACATGAGGAAAGAGCCACTCAGGTCAGTGAGAGAGTAAAATTCGTGTTTGGATGCACTCTGGCAGTGCTATTAAAATAATAAATGGGTAGGCAATTTAAAAGCACAAACTGTATAAGCTTCTATGAGGCTGTTTGAGGTTACTCAAAACATGCATATGTACTACAACATACAGTCAAGTAACCAGCACATAGGTAATGTCATTTTACATCACAGGTGTGACACAGGTTTAAGGTATTTCTGAATGTCTTCCAAACCTTTCCTGTTTTATTCAGTTTAGCAGTATCTATCCTGATTCCCAACCACGGGATCCCTGTCTTGCATTACTTAACTGCTCAAATTTTGGAGAACTTTCCACCGTCCCTGTAAAGCATAGTATTTTCTATTTAGACCCCAGATTCACACCATCTCTTTCAGTTCAAAATTCTGAAGGAAGGAACTGGGTGAAGGGCCTGTCCCCAGGCCCCATCTGTGGTGCTGGCAGAGATGGTGCAGGTAGGGGGTGCTGTCCCCTGAGCAGCCCCGGCCTTCACGGAAGTGCTTCTGTGCCCTTTTCTCTCAGGAGACTGTGGCCCCCCTGAGAAGCCAGCTCATGGCTACTTTAAAGGAGTAAATTTCACCTCAGGATCCATCATTACTTTTTACTGTGAGAAGAGGTAAGTGCACACAGCTTTCAAACATGAGCTCCTGCTCCTTGGCAGCATTGTTTTGGGGAATGACCCAAATTACTTACTGTGTCTCCCACAAAATAAGAGCTAACCAGAAAATAAGTGCTGGTTGTTACCATGGTGATGGCCGAAGCACGAGTAGAAGATTAGAAGATTATACCTTGCTATGTTCCTGCTCGGTGCCACTCCGTAATGGCAGGTAAAGCATGGATAGACTGGCACTTTTGATCTCTGGTTTTTAAGGCTGATTATTTTCTGGTTAAGTCTTACTTTCAGGGAAACTTGATGCCTGGGGCCCTGATTTCATGCTGTTTCAGGATCCTGGGCTCACTCTGAGTTTGAGAGCTGCTTTAGCCCACTGCCAGCTCTTTCCAATCCTGAGAAAACAGACTAACCCTATTAAAGTAGCCTATTTACCCTAGTGAACATATCACTTTTTTCCTCTCACTTAAAACAAATTTTAAATACTGTTTGTATATTTTCTAAAGAATCAAAGAACAGGGGCTGGGGATATAGCTCAGCAGCACAAGCGCCTGCCTGGCAAGCACAAGGTCATGAGTTCCATTCCCGGTACCAAAAAAAAAAAAGAAACTTTGGTAAAGAATCAAAGAACAAAAAACTCAAAGTAATACAGAAGTTGAGAAACAAAGATTTAGAGTATGGACCCTTAACTCAGCCTAACCTTAGTTTAGAATGCCTGGTCTCCCATGCTCTGGATCTTCTAGACTTTTCCTCCACTGGCTTCTATCTTCCTGGGTCATGTGGCCTCTCTGGTGTTTAAATCCAACAGACTTCAGTCAACTCTTGTATTTTTCTGATTAAAAATACAAGAGTATTTTAACTCATCTACCCCTTTTAACTCATCTACCAATACTTATTTGATGAACGTCTCCAACCTTCTGCTTGCTAGAGCTTAGATGACAGTTGCCTTCTTAAGCTATTGAATGATCAGCTGTTTCTTCCCTTGCCATCCTCAAAAAAAACAAAACAAAACAAAAAAAAAACTGTGAGCATCAGTGCTAACCGAGAGCTTCCTACTGCTCTTGTTTTAGGGTTGACTCCTCCTGCGGTCCTGTCCCCCACCCAGGAGAGTAGTCTTACCTTACAACTGTTTTGTGATGCAGAGGTAACTTTAGCAAGCCTTGCGGCTCAGGGACAGGGAGGTGGATTCTACCACAGTTGAAATACTGAAGTGCAACTGCACAGGAACGGCCTTAGTTTCCCAGTGTGGAAGGTCAGTGTTGTTTCTGCTGTGCTCAGGTACCGCCTGGTGGGCACAAAGGAGCTGCAGTGCCTAGACGGGGAGTGGAGTGGCACTCTTCCGGCCTGCGAGCTGATCCCGGAAGCTTAAGCACCAGCCCCACTGACGGGGCTTGAGAAAGCATTTGTGAGTAGCAGCCCCTGTTACAGCTGTGTCTCTGGGGCCAGGCATCACTCCTGGAATATGGTCAGCAAATATCTGTTCAGTTTGGGACAGCGTTTTTGATTGGGTTGGCTTTGGCTTGATTGTGGAAGGGGCCTCTTACACTATCTGCTCACATTTCTATATGAGGTTGTTCCAGTGCTCCACCATCAGAAAGCTTCAGAAAGCCCTGTTGGTAGGAATCATAGTCTCATGTTGAACGGGGAAATTAAAATTTTAAATAGAAGCCTGCCTAGGATGTCCACCAAGACCAAGCAGACATGTCTGGCAGGCCCAATAACAGAACATTTCTTCCTTTGTGTAACTCTTGTCTTTACTGCCTTTGTATAACTGATGGCCTGGAAATGTAACTTAAAATGTAACAGGACATTTCTTCTTTTGTATAACCCACGCTTTGTATAACTGATGGCCTGGCAATGTAACCTGGGATATTTAAACACCCTAGTAACCCATGATGTCACCCACGCACCCCTCCCAGTCATAATGAACCAAATCTGCCTTTGTACCTCCCACTTGTTCTCTCTGTAAAAGACCCAAGACCCTTCTGGGTGGGGCTGACTCTTTGAGAGAGATCCCAGTCAAGCCCACCAGTGTAAATATATTCCCTCCTAAGCTTCTTGGTGCCATTTCTTCCTGTGTTTGGTCAGCTTTCTGTAACAATGAGGTACTTAAAATGCAGTGCCTTCACTCTGGGAGGCTGAGGCAGGAGGGTGATAAGTTTAAGCCCAGTCTGTGCAACTTAGTGACTTAGCAAGACCCTGTTTTAACCAAACCGAACAAACCAAACCAAACCTCAATGCCTGAGATTATGTTGTTATGATGTTTCTAAAAATTTCTTTAACTTCCAATCAAAGCTGAACAGATTTTTTTTCCTTGAGATTCTTCTTCTAGTCCATATATACTACTGGGGAAATATTGGTAAGTTTGTTTAAGCCAGAAAATGTAAATGATTGAAGACCCAGGTCCCTACTGAAGCTCCATGGTTCTGAGGCCCACCTGCTTCAGAGAATGGGGCTGGATCTCAGTCCTTCAGGGACAACTGTTAAAAAATGTTTTTTCTTCAGCTTGCCTTTCAAGAGAGTAAGGACCTATGCAGTGCCACAGAGATCTTTATGAAAAGAGTGAAGGAAAATGGCTTAACAATGGAGGAAGTGAAATACTCTCTGGAGTTTAAGAAAGCTGAGTTGATGCAAAAAATGTTGGCCTAACATAATAGCTCAGCAGAATGGTGCTACAGATGCTCTTATGAATAAATTTTCCTCTTTGTTCTAAAACGGTTTCTGATTGTTTCTTACTGGGCTGAAATGCAATTTCATAGTAAGCCACCGGCATAGCGCGTGCGTGTGTGTGTGTGTGTGTGTGTGTGTGTGTGTGAGTGTTATCATATTTAACATGTGAAAAGACCAACTGTGGTTATTATTGAAGACCAGAATTGGCAGCATGTTAATGGAGGTTGGAAAGTTTAATTTCCTGTCTGTAAGGAGAAGGAAGAAGTTTGGATCTCAGCTGACAGTGTACCTCATATTTTAATATGAAACACAAATTATGAAGCAAAACTTAATCCCAAGTTACTCAAAACATATGAGGCAAAATTAACCTCTTATTCTGGAAAAGTAAACTCAGAATAGTTACATCCTAAATACACTATGGAGACAGAAATGGAGTTAGGTCCCAAACTCTCTCCTGGGTCTCACCAACACATGGTTTAGGACACCAGGTTTCTGAATGTTCTGCAGTAATACTGCTTCCTGATTTTTGGACAGTACCCAGTCCTGCATTATCATGAGGTTCAAGGTGTGCAACATAAGTGAATACATATTATTCTGCTTTTTTAAGAGTAGAGGAAATTAACATCCTAAGACTTTCTTACCAAATGTCAAACTGAGCTGATCTGACAGGCCCCTTCCATTTCTTACCCCGACTCCCACTGCAGCACACAGGAAATCTGGGTAAAATATATCCAAAATACAGAGGACAGCTTGAAATGATGGAAAATCTGTAGGTGAAGTGTTGTGTCATGGTTTACAAGGGAATATTTTATAATATTCACACAAAGAGTCAAATGCAAAAGAATGCAGGAGATCCATATACTTAGAGACCCAAAAAATCCAACTGAGGGCCAGGACCCTAAGTCAATATCCTGCAGGAGTCCAGCTGAAGACCTAGAGCCTGCGACAGTATCCTCCATGAGTCCATCTGGAGGCCTAGAGCCCATGACAATGTCTCATGCAAGTCTGTACCAAGATCTGCACTGGAAGGGCCAAAGGCCAGTGGTGGAAGCTAGAAAATCTGTGCCAGCGAGATGAAGGATCTGTGCCAGCAGGCTAAGGGATCTGCACTGGAGCCAGGAAGTGACGCTCAAGGTAAGGTCTAGAGCTCCCCCAAAGAGCACCACAGCCATCCTCAGTGACAGTAAGGACACAAGCTCCTCCAACAATGAGAACAGCTGAGTTCATATCAGGAAATCCAGCACTCAAACTTCTCCAGGAGAATCAACAGCATCATCCCTTCCTCTCCAGTTCTTTTATACTGTTGGCGACAATCTTCAGGTGGGCCGTCCACATGCAGCACCAGACTGATTCAGTTCAGCTGGGTGTTATGAGTTGACCATTAGTTAATCTACCACATAAAGTTACAAGTGAAAATAAGAAATGGACTTTCAGGTAATCAAAAATCTTTGAGTAGACACAGATCTGGCTACTACAGGGTGCTTGTGAGGAAGCCGACTCTTTTCAGAGTGCGGTGTGCTAGGGAAGCACGGAGAAGGGGAGGGGAATGCAGGGAAATTGTCAAGGAAGTGGTCATAGTTACTTGTACTTTCAAAAATAAAATTTATAGAAAAAGGTTTAGAAGGAGGATATTCCAAGTAGAAAGAATATTTGTACAATGAAGTGAGAAAAAGCTGAGAGTACACCTCATATTTTAACCAAGTAAATCCACACCTTGAATTAAACTAACTGGAATGTATTGATTTTAATATGAAGTTATTTATTATTGATTATATTGGCAACACATTGCAAGCATCTGAAATGTCCAATTATAGAAAAATTTTATTTGGTTTTTTGAGAGAGGGTCTTGCTATGTAATTCAGGCTAGACTTGAACTCGCTATATAGCCCAAGATGGCCTCGAGTTCAATTTATGATATATCAAATGTTATGTAACATTTACAGTGCCTATGGAAAAACGGAAAATCTTGAAAATATAACTTTAGGTAAAAAATAGAATAAATACTTATGATCATATTTATGTACAGTCTTCATTCTTGTAAGAAAGGACTGGGCCTTAATGGATGCAGGTGAAAACTATTTTCATAGAACCTTGGAATCACAGGTAAATACTTAAATCTCTTAAAGTACTTTAGTGTTTTAAAATGAATGTTTAATAATTTTTTTGGATCAGGAACAATGGAACACATTGAGTGAATGGCACATAGACTGGGTTGGAATGGATGGGGCATGGGAGGTGGCAGAAGAGAAGGCTGGAGAGGCCAGTTCAAGACCATTGACAAGGTTTTGAATGACACTTGAGGGAATTTGAACTTAGTTTTGTTAGGTGGTGAGAAGACTTGGGAGGTGGTCAAGCAAGGAACTGATAAGAACAGGACATAGAGGGAAATTCATCTCACAATAGTATGAAGTGTAAGGGCAGAAATCAGGTTGTATTCCCCAAGAAACCGAAAGACTCTATTCAGAACAAAACAGAGTTCAATTTGAGGCTAGCCACCTTCATGCCTGACTTGCAAGTCAGGGAAATGGGCATGGACCTGCCTTTGTTCCCACCTTATATACTTTTTTGGTTTCCATGATAACAGATTGGAATGTTGTAGCCCTGGCCACACGTTGTTTTCCTTGTGCCATGTGACTCGGACAGGCTCCAGTCATGAGCCCAACCACAATGATATATACTTTCTGTACTCCATTCTATATGTCCCCCTTTAGATAACCATAGATTTCCTTTATGGTTACAATATTTATCTAGGACCAGGGAAGAGATGAAACAACCCAGGCAGGGTCATAGGTGGTTATCTAGCCCGGGTGTTCTTTGTCTTTGGAGAAGCATTCCAGGGCTAAGTCAGGACTGCAAAGTTAACTCTTTACAACCCCTCCGGGATGTTTCTCAAGATACATTTTGAGGCTTGCACTAAGACTAGAATTATTCTATCTTAAAATGATATGCTAAGAGTTACCATCCCCTACAGAAGTATCAGTTGATGTGGAGAAATAATTGAGACAGAGAAGCCAAGAGAAAGACTAGTGCAATAGTCCCCTGCTGTGCTGTGAGTGTCCCTCAAAGTTGATGTATTGTGATCTAGCCAAGCCCCAATGCAACAGCGCTGAGAGAGGGAAACTTTAAGAGGTGACTTGATCATGAGGGGTGAACCCTCATGAGTGGGTTGATACTGCTACTGAGTGGGTTTGTTGTCACCAGAGTGATCTCCTGATAAATGAATTCTGTTCCCCTCTTTCTGCCATGCCTGTGTTCTCTTGCCCTTCTACCTTCCCACATGGGATGATGCTGCAATATCTCTGCCAGATGTAGCTCCTCAGCTTTAGATTTCCCAGCTTTCAAAACTATAAGAAAGAAATATCTTTACTATAAAGTAAGCAGTCTCTGGCATTCTGTTATAGCAGCAGAAAACAGACTAACACATCCACATAAGAGAAAATGTAACCTGAACTAATTTAAAGGGAGTAGAAGTAGGAAAAAAAAGCAATAGAAGTGAGAAACATTAGGAAACTCACATCAGAACAACTTGTCACCAGACATAGGGGCACACACTTGTAATTCCAGTACTCAAGAGGCTGAGGTGGGATTTTGAATTCAAGGTCAGCCTTGGTACTACGGAGTTTTAGATCAGCCTTGACTATGTAGCAAAACCTGTCTTAAAAAGTAAACAAAACCACTTGTCAACAGATTGAATGTTGGAGGATTAGGGAAATATGGAGTGTAAGGCAAACCTGAAATTCCAATCTGAGTACCTAGATTAGATTTAGGATCATGAAATAAAGCTACTGGGCAGGAAATTAGAAGTTCCTCTCTAGATGGTGAGTATAAAGTATTTGCAAGATGCATACTGGACAGCAGCAACAGCAGCAGCAGCAACAACCAGAGGGTTTGAATGTAGGAGAGTAATGAGATAAAGATGTGAGATGGGAAGTCCTGTTGTGGAGAATAAAGCTGAGACAGTAGGTTTGTTCACTAAAGTAGTGAAGAGAATTTTTTTTAAAAAGGACATGAAATGTTTCTATAGTTAGGGGTGTGAAGGAGGAAAAGCAGGTAAGAAAAACTAAGAAAGAGAAATTGATAAGGTAAAGGAACTTAACTCTTTCATTTCTGAAAACTTTATGAGACTTTCAGTTAATGTTCTAGAAGAGGTTATGTTATCAGAATCACGTTTTAATGTTTTCTGAGAACACATACCTGAAGTTTAAGATATATCCTTAATTGGATGATATCAGGGTTTGGGTTTCTTCTTAGCCTGTGGGAAACACTGCTGCCCCTCCTTGTGTCCTGAGCAGCGCTCAGTGATAAACTGACTTCCTGAGGTCTTCTGGCGCCCAGCATGTGTCAGTAGTGCTGTGGGAGCTCAACCCTTGCTGAGCTCTGAGTATGCTCCAGCTATCTCAACCCGTGCAGGAAACTCAATAAATCAATTCTCCATCGTTTGTACCTCCTTGGGATGGAATAGAGATGAGTGCCTGGCAAGACCTGGAGCCGGGATCCCCCAGAGCACCTCTGGACCTGGTGTCACAGGAAGTGGATCGTTTCAGTGGCATTTGTCTGGGTGTTGCAGTATTCAAGACTTCCAGGGCAGCTGGACTGCATCTTGCATAACCTTCTTGTATTTATGAAAAGAAAATGGAATACTGGCATCAAGTTCAAATTACCTTTTCATTTAGGGGAAATGGTTGGCAGAGGAGAAAATGATTGCAACATGTTATCAAGATCGGGACTAGTGAAGAGGAGGGAGAGTAGGTAAATACTGCTGCTCTATTTCTGCTGTTAATCATTCACTGGGCAGAGGAGAGTTTCTGCCCATCTGTCTTCACTCAGCTATCCCTGACCAGCCAACTGCATGGCTAAAAGTGAGGGGTTGCTTTGGCGGAGCAGTTACTAGCCCACTTGAGGACACAGTGATCAAGCCTGATCTTGGGAGGAACTAGAATTCTATGCACCAAGGCACCACAGCAGAGCCTTCCCCTCTATTACTGCAGGTCAGCGGGTTACTTGGGGGGCACTTGGGGGTCTTAGAGAAACAACGAGTGTTTGGGCCTTTTGGGAGTACAGGATTGGAAGGATAATCAAAAACAAAAACTTGGTGATGTTTTCAGAAATCTTTTCGGGAGTATCACATTAAGGGGTTATGTGACCTGAAGAATTTAACCCCCCTTGGCCTTAAATTTTTATTACAAACTGATGATTTATAATGTCTGTTAATAAAATAAAGTAGAAAAAAGTGTAAGATGATATTATTATTGTTATTGTACCCCAGAGATACATTTTGTTGTTGTTTTTTGAGACAGGGTCTCCCTGGCCTTGAACTCACTATGTAGCACAGACTGGCCTCAAATTTGTAGGGATCCTTCTGCCTCAGCCTCCCAAATGTTGGGATTACAGGTGTATACCACCATAGCTTGCCTGGTTTGTTGATTTTTTATCATACCCCCACATAGGAGTGTGAGGCAAGAGGGAAAAAACTTCTCAAAGGGAACACAGGAGACTTGTTTTCCAGGCTATATTCTGAAAATTAATGTAATTTTTCTTGGAGAGTCTACCAACTCCTCACTGACATCAAAGACAGCAAAGACCTTTAGATTTGGTAATGGGGAGTCTGCCTTCAGTTTGTTCCTGAAGCTGGAATCCTTAATCATCCTTACCTTCTTTGCCTCCCTTGTTTTCTAAATAGGACCTTCTCAATGACTGTTGCTTCTTGAAATTCTCTTCTCCCTGGGCTGGTCAGAACGTAGTTCTGGTCCTCATTTTAATTGTATCTTTACTGATTCCCACTCTGTCCCTAAATACGATGGGGCCAGGAAAAGAAAAAGTAGCGTGTACTGAAAGGAGGAGGCATCAGATAAGGTTTGCATTAGACTTAGAGATACTTTTGAATGTAATACGAGCATAGAAGGCAGGATCTGAGAGAGAAACAGGTTCTAGGGTGGAGGGAGAAGTGTGGAAGCAAGTCCCCCCTGGAGTTTGGAAGTGATATTAATTGAAAGCCAAGGTATAAAAAGACCCTCTGCCTGAGACTGGACCTTTTCAGAGGTAGTCTGAATTTTGAAGGGGAATTCAGACAAAAGAAATGAATTAATTTAAAAGATAATCTCAAGTGGAAGCAGAAACTTGAGGACTAAAGATTTTCCCAAAGTCTCTCAAATTATGCTGTGATAGCAAGTACAAACATCTGCCATCTTGACTATAGTTCTTGAACTGGTTTCCTTTCTCAAAGAATTAAACAGGTGATGATGTTATTGAAATACACAGGAATTTGCCAGAGTAGTCTCCACTTTTTAGTGAGCAGTTACAGAATCGTGGAGTTTGTAGGAAATAAAATAGATCAGTATGTTAAGTGTTATCATTTTAGAGATGAAGAAACTTAGTTTCAAGGAGCTAATGCAGCTTCTTCACAATTGCAGACGTAGACTGTGCCATTGCTACAACTCAAACTCAGGTCTCCCCAATTTGCAAGTTCTTATCTCCATCCCTGTACTCTACAGTCAGCTGAGTTCTGTGCAAGTTCTGCTGATGGACTTAAGGAACAGCTGGAAAAGTGAGCCAGATCCAACTCGAGAGTTCACGAGGGAAGTCTGAACACCTTATCATCTCTCTGCCAAGGCTAATCAGGCAATTTATGTACATTATATCCTCTAGGAGACAGTCAATCATTCTTATTCTGAAGATGGAACTAAACTGAGTTTTATTTATTTTACATTTATTGGATAACTATTTTTATACATGATTATAATACCAAATTAGAGACAGAAAGTTGAAGAAATATCACTCTTGTCTTCAAGGGAACCACAATCTATTTCAGGTGGCAAGGGAAAATAGACAGTTTGATCAAGGCTGTCTCAGTCACAGGGGAATACAGAAGGCCCTGGCTTTCCTGGTGGAGGTGGGCAATTCTTCACCAAGGAGGAGGCCCTGGATCTGAACAGTGAATGACAGAGAGCTTAGTGGTAAGAACACTCATGCACAGGAGACAGTATATGTAAGTGCATGCAGGTGTTTTTGAAAGGGCAGAAGGTGTTTTGAGAAAAGTAAGTACCTTCATGAGGTTTGAAGCACAGCATTGTTCTATTTGCAAAAGAGGGGTATGGAGAGCTGGGAGAGGAATGGGGATCCAAGGGAACTGCGGACCATGTAAATTTTCAAGCAAGGTGACATAGTGTAAATTGCCTTTTTAGGGTATAATGGTATTGACATAGATGCTGGCTACAAATATTTAGAAAGTTTTGCCGTGATCTGAGGTAGGGTAAAGGAAATTATGAGAACTTCTACCTGAACTATCGAAGAGGAGTATAGGACAGAGAGAGGCTAGTGTCCATGATGCTGCAATGCTCAAGAGACACCAACTCGACAGGACTTGGCCACTGTGAACATGGAAGGAGACAGAAGACATATGGCTGGGCTGGAAATTTTTACTTTAGCCAAGATAGCACAGAAGTCTAATAGTGTTGGAGGAGGGTAGTTTGGGATATATTGGATACAAGGTTCTGGGCAGATACAAATGAAGTGGTTGGAAATACTAACCTGAATCTTTGCAATTGTAGCCCCTTGAGAAAAGGGTTGTTTGCTTAACTAAGAAATCTAACATGGTCAAAGTTTAGTTTACATTTAGGATTTCAGGTAAAGGGGACTGAGTGATAATGTATTTCTGAATCTGTAAAGAAAACTCATAAGTACTTATAACTAAGAAAACTGAAATGTTCATTTAAGTATTACCCCCAGACAAAAACAATTCTTTGAGACAACCGGTCAGAATTACATCCTTTTCTAAGGTCAAAGCTTACTCTCAAGTGGCAAAGCAACAACTTTTTCCTAGACCAAGGAGTCTAGAAATGACTGCTCGATTAGAAGTACCATTTGCAAAGTCGGTACTGTCAATGCAATATATTGCTTTCCAATACTGCAGGGGAAGAAGAACAGTCCTGCTTGTTTTGCTAAGATTTCTTTCACTGATTTTAGAAAGACTTATACATTTTTAAGCTAAGCACAGAAATTTCACTAGTTAGCAACCAGAACAGAGAAAAACATGCAGGAATATTTAAATAAGATAGAATAAGGTAATTATTAACAATTAAGTTCCTGGAGCATGTAAGGTTGTACATCTACAAGCTGGGCCCATAGGACTATGAGTGATTCATGTGTGATGATCAAAGTCATTGATGGGATGAGTTCTTCCCAGAGAGACAATTGAGTGGGAGGAAAGAAACCCCCACGACAGCATCTAGGGGCCCTGGTGTCTCTCTACCCTGGGTCTCACTGTACCTAGAACCACAGGAGAGACAGACCAAAGGCTTTTGGCCCCAAGCCCAGTGGGTGTTCCTCCGCACTGGGGCGTGAAATCACCTGGTAACACAGTCGCCGTTATTATAATTCAAATCATTACGATGATGTTTTGACTTCTAGGAGTTCTGCTTGTGGCAGAGGGGCACTCAGATGCTCATTCTATCGTACTCTTCTCTAATGTCTCTTTTGAATATTCACTGTAGACCATCCATGCACTGGGTCAAGCTCCTCTGAGCAATTCTGAGGACGTGTAATTATTATTCTTATTTTATGGGAGAGGAAATCAAATCACGGTGGGGCTGAGTGTCTTTGTCCTTGGCACGTGATTCCTACATGGTAGAACCAGAATTTTAGCCACCCACATAGTCTGGGTCTGAGTCCAGAGCGCAGGCCTAAGGTCCTAGGCACACCACCCTCCTCTGTCCCCAGCCCCGAAGCTGTGGCCTTGAGGCAAGTCTGAAGTAGAGGAATCGAACACCTTCTTTACCATGGTGTAGGGTCTCTGATATGCTGGCTTCGGTTGATGATGGAAAAAAGCTTACAGTTAAGTTGCTTGGGTCAGTTTTTCTTAAAACACAGATGTACCTTACTTTAAAATCAGTTAAAATCTGCCTTTCACAAAGCTAACATACAAGTGTAAGGATGGATATGGGGCAGTATTATTTTTCTTGGAAATATATTTTATCACTAAGCGTTTTTGGATTTATACTCAACAGACATTTCCTGAACAATTTCGACTTTGTGAGTGTTAGGTTCTAGGTGGGGTGGAAATGAATAGAACCCATCCTCTTACTGCAAGGATCTCCGCTGGTGGCAAAGCCAGACTTCAGAAGTTAGCTGGAAACCAAGTCAGGATGAAAACTATAACTGCTAAGCCGAACTTGGTCTGGAGGATAAGGATCACTGGAGAAGGGACTGGCAGGAGGAGTAGGGAAGGGACAGAGAGGAGATGATGTGGGCAGGAGTAAGAGGGAGGAAAGTGTTTGGAGCTGTTGGAAACCCCAGCTGTCCAGACACAGGGGCTCAGGCCAAACTTCTGGAAAATTAGGCACCAAAGCCAGCTGAGGGAACACCAGTTCCTGCTGACCCTGGAATTCACCAAAGCCAGTTTCCTAAATTTATCAAATTACCATTTAAGGAATATTCATTTCAATACATTCAGTGACTGTAAATACATTCTTTTTGAATGTAACTAATGAATATATTCTTTTTAGAACACTTTTAGATATTCCTTTTTTCAATTTTTTAAAGCTAAAAATTTAATCTTATATGTGCATTTTGGTCATGAATATGTTTCTGCAAACACAATATGTTTTTCTTGTGTTAAGAACAGCTACAACAATTCATATGAGAAAGTTTCCCTTTGTGTTTTTTTTTTTGGAGTCAAATTTTACTTTGCCTAGACATCAGTATTTTTAATCTCTTTGATTTCCCTGAAATTCAAAAACTAAAATTTTTTTTTGTTAAAAACTGAAGGAACTTACAGATTTCATAGTTTCTAATTGTTTTTATCGGATGGGAGAAACATCACATTTTGTGAATTTCACAAATAATTTAGTGGGCTGACTTTCATGATACAGAATGTGCCTTTCCTAACTTCTTTAGGCAATCTGGACTAATTTAGTACAAATTCTGCAAACATATTTTCACTAAGCAAATTCATTTAGAAATTGTTATGCAGGTTAACTTATGTTTAGCAGAACTGTCCCAGCAGCCATGCATAAAGCTCATGGTATAGGATATGCATGGCATGGGGGTGTCCACTCCAACAACTGGTGGAGGAACAGCTTCATCAGAACTAAGTTTTAGAAAGATGATTCCTTAATTGGAAATGACTCATGACATTAGTGAGATCTTGTCATCTTGGATTTAGCATATAGTGTGTTCTCTAGGGGATGGAAAATAGTGGTAAGTAGTAAAAATGTCCTGAGTGATTTCACTTTAAACAGGTTTTTTCACATTCTACTACATCTCCAGACTCCTTTAATTTTTCTCTGAGACAAGATTTCACTAATGAGATGAGTCATTTCTTCACACATGAATCACTCATAGCCCTATGGGCCCAGCTTGTAGATGTACAACCTTACATGCTCCAGGAACTTAATTGTTAATAATTACCTTATTGTATCTTATTTGAATATTCCTGCATGTTTTTCTCTATTCTGGTTGCTAACTAGTGAAATTTCTGTGCTTAGCTTAAAAATATATAAGTCTTTCTAAAATCAGTGAAAGAAATCTTAGCAAAACAAGCAGGACTGTTCCTCTTCCCCTGCAGTACTGGAAAGCAATATACTGCATTGATAGTACCGACTTTGCAAATAGTATTTCCAATCAAGGAGTCATCTTTACACTAGTCTTCACTCAATGAAGAGCTCAGGCTCTTCTACAAGGTGTGAAGAACCACTCTAACTGACCCCCTGCTCCATAATGTGTGGCAGAAACATCTCTGAGGGAGCTCCCTTGTCTTAAGTGGACATGGGCTTAGGCATGAGTTAGGGACACATGGGATCACCTATACAGGTATAAGAATAAAAGGTAAAATTCAATATTTTATTGGGGCTTAACATCACATATTTCTTTGAGGACAAGGACTCTCTGGTATGGATTTAGCATATAGTGTGTTCTCTAGGGGATGGGGAGTAGTGGTAAAGAGTAAAAATGTCCCCAGTGATTTCACTTTAAACAAGTTTTTTCACATTGCACTACATCTCCAGATTCCTTTAATTTTTACTCTGAGACAAGATCTCACTAAGCTGCTAAATTGCTCAGGTTGGACTTGAATTTGCAACCTTCCTGCCTTTGCCTACCAGATTGCTGGGGATTATAGACGTGTGTCATGCCCAGCTAAGCGGCCTTCTCTGTTCAGTCTTCTCCTTTTCCCCATTTGGAATCATTTCTTTTCCCAGCAGGATGCTTGTGCAGAGCCAGCCCCCAACTGCCTTGTGTTGTGACACTTGTGCATCTGTGTTTTCTTCCAGTCTAAGCTGGGATCTGGTAACATTTATCTTAGTGCTTTATGACAAGTAGGAATTCAGTGACCGCTTATTAAATTGAGTTCTTTCAGCAGAAAAATGTCAGAGAAGCACCAAGTCGTGTGCCCTCCAAGGGCTCCAAGTGGGGAGCTGAGAGCCTGGCCCTTCTCTAGGCGGTGCGGAGTCCCCCATCCAACACTGTTCCAAATGACACTGGTCACTTCTCTATTGGCCACTGTTCTTGGTGAGTAGTGGGAAACAAGTTCAGAAGGACAATGAGAAATAGAGATCAGCTACACTTAGCAAACTAAACAAGAGATGACTAAGCTTCTAGCCAAAATCAGTTTTGGCAACAAAGGGTATTTGTTTTTGTTTTGTTTCATTTCGTTTGCCAGCTGAGATTTAGGGGAATTTGCTTTACACATGAAAGAAGCAGTTTTCTAGATATTTTTCCTCTAAGTATTTCCAAAGCAATCTCTCCCAGTCATGGGATAGCTTGAAATAACTTGCATTATCTATCAGTCTGAATGAAGGATTTTCACCACCTGTGGTTTTATCCAGCATGGAGAGGCAAAATGTGTACTCCTACCGGGGGTCATAAAGGTACATTGGTTCTGTGTTTAAGTTTTGTAAGGAAAGCAGGATTAACATCTTTATGTTTCAACAAGTCCTTGCTTCATCCTCCTTATCATTCAAAATCCAAAAGGTGCAAAATATTTTTAAATGTTCTGTTTACGCATCTCTTAGCCATCCAATTTTCTTTCTCTGAGGTAACCCACATTATGCAATATTATTTTCAATGAAATAATGCTCTTATGTTGAAGCACACTTGTAAGGATTTCTGACTGTGTGTAGATATATGTGCAGCAACAGAGGTAGATTATCTGACAGACTGATGAAATTTGTGTCTATTAAGCATTTTAGACAAATTTTCTCATATGTAATAGAGAAAAGATAAAATTTTATGCCTTTTATCATTATCATCTATTAATGTACATATTGATCACTCTTGGATTCATTGAACAAAGGGAATAATAAGAGCTATGATTTCCCTTGACTAGAGGAGAAAGGAATTATCCTTACACTAAAATCATACCATTGAAACATTGAGGTGTGATATTTGAAGATGTAACATTTGGTGCTTCTTGTCATTTTGGTGTCCAGGTAGATGTGGTCCCCCACCTATTTTATTCTTTGCTTCTCCAACAAAGGAGTTGAACCAGACAGAGTTTCCAACTGATGCTATCCTGAAATACACCTGTCGCCCTGGCTACATCAGGATCCGTTCAGATCAGACGCTGACCTGTAAACTTAATGGCCAGTGGCAGTATGAGGTCTTCTGTGGCAGTAAGTACCAGCACTCCTCTCACTCTTCCCAGCTTTGGAATGTTGTCTCAGGATCTCAGATTCCTGAATTGAAGGAACCACCGATTTTCTCAACTACTGATTTTGATGCACATATATGAGATTAAATTTGTTTGCATATTTTCTTCAAAAATATGAGTCCAGTGAGTCAAAGTCAGAAATAAGTGTGAATCTAAACATCTGGGGCTTTATGACAGCAGAGGTGGAAATGGATCAATCATTCTGTTCTAATACCATATCTGTGAGTATTTGGAATCACTAACCATCATTTAAATTTTTCTCCCAGAGAAACAGTGCAGAAATCCAGGAGATTTACCTCATGGCATAGTTGAAATTAAGACAGATCTCTCCTTTGGATCAAAAATAGAATTCAGCTGTTCAGAAGGGTGAGTGTGAGGTAGAAATAATATTTTAAAATTAATCTTTAAAAATAACAAATGCATTCTTATACTTCTAAATTTTAAATGTTCATATATTTCAAGAAGATACACTTCCATCCTGTCTCCATATACCCCGTTTTTTCTTATCTTCAGCAAAGATTTAGTTTTATTAGTTTAGGGGGTATCATTCTAGTGTTTCTTTATACAAACACGAGGTTAGAAATTGTTTTAGTTACTCTTCTCATTGCTGAGACAAAATACCCTATACCCAAGTTAAAGGAGGAAAGGTTTATTTCAGCTCATACTTTGTACAGGTTTCAGTCCATAGTGGGCTGGCTCCAAGGCAGGGCAACATGCATTGCAGAGGAAAAACAGTTCATGGTGTGGCAGGCAGAAGGCAGCAAACCAGCAAGCAACAGCAGCAGCAGGCCTGCCTTCCCTTTCTCCCCCTTTGTAAGCCACACCTAGGGTGGGGCTTTCCATTATCTACACCCAGAACTATTCTAATTTTAATCAGTGTGCTAATCTACAACTAGACACCCTTAATCCCACTATCACACACTTAGTCCATGTTCACAAACCCTACACCCAGCCACCTCTGAAAAGCCCCACTATGAGCACATGAAGCTTTGGGGAACATCTATATATAGGCCATAACAGAAATTAACATATATTTTTATTTTTTTATTTCTAATAACAAGCATAATTTTGAATCTTGCTTTTCTCTACTTATCAATATATATTGGAGATATTTCATATTTGTACATAAAGTTTCCTCATTCATTTTCTTTTTTTAAATTTATTTATTTTTTTTACTTTTTTTTTTCTGGTACTTGGAATTGAACTCATGACCTCATGCTTGCCAGGCAGGTGCTGTGCCACTGAGCTAAATCCCCAGCCCAATTTTCTTTTACAGATGTGTAGATTTTTATTCAGTGGATATGCCCTGCTGCTGTAACATCCATTTGATGGATCCAGTCTTTGCAATATTGAACCATGCTCAGATGCATTACTTTGCACCTATGTGAATCTTTACAAATGTAATTATAAATACCATTTTGCAGAAGCAATCTAATTTGCCCTTGATATTAGGATGAATCACTCCAGCCATTGGAACAGTCCCTTCTTTGCCTATTCGTTCACTTGCCTGAGAGGCCAGAGTTGATGGATTCAGCTTCAAGTTTAATTTGGAAAGTCAGGTAAAACATAGGATGCCTGGTTAAATTTGGATTTCATAGGAACAACAAATAAGTTTAGTATAAGTGTGCTCTATGTGATATTTGGATAACATTTAAATGAAAAAAAAAAGGTTCACTATTTACATGAAATTCAAGTTTAACTTGAAAGTAGGCATTCTATCTTTTTACATCCTGCTGTCGGCAGTAGAAGCATTCCTACCCTGGAAACTAAGACTTCTGCACTAATAGAGAAAGTTTTTATTTCTACCCTTATGATTACTGAGATTTCAGTAGCAACATAGTATATGGTCCAATTTTTATTAACATTCCACAGGTTCTTCAAATGAAGGTATATTTTTGTTATTAGTACACATTGTATGATATATATAATACATGTATTATTATATAATGTGTATTACATACACACATCAAGTGTATTTTGTTGTGACCTTTTTCAAACCTTTTATTGCACTTCTCTTTATGATTTTTTTTTGTTTGTTTGTTTGTTTGTTTTTCTTCCTGTACCAGGAATCAAACTGACGACCTTGTGCTTGCCAGGCAGGTACTTTTGCTGCTGAGCTAAATCCCCAGCCCTCTCTTTATGATTTAAACAAAGAAAGGAATCAATTTAAATTTATAATTTTCATAATTATTTCACATATTAAATTAATAATAACTAATAGTATGTTTTTATCACTTCTTAAATATACTATGTATTTTATTTTTGTATTTTATTTTATGAAAACAACTGCCACATATTTTGGTAAAGATTTCTAGGTCTTCAATGAAAATCAAAATCCTTAACATAAAAAGTACCTATATTGGTATAATTTAATAATCTTAGTACTGATGTCCAACCTATGGGATGTTTAAAATCATTATTTTTGCTTTTCTTTTAGTTTACATTTATCTGAGATAACTTTGCTCTTCTTTTTATTTGTAATATGTTTGAAACATGTCTAGTTTTACTTCCTGTGTACAACAAAGAGTTAAATTTGGCTCTAGTTAAAAGCTCTTTTTCTTTCAATAGGATAGTAAACCTATTTATTTACTTATTTTGCAGTGCTGGAGATTGAACCCAGGACTTCATGCATGCTGGGCAAAGGCTTTTCCACTGAGCTATATCCCTAGTTTCCAATTATCTTTATTAATATGAGTGATAACTATAAACTTGGTTCTGTCATATTATTTCATTTACTGCCCTATATGTATGGGTATATTTATTTGTTATTTATTATATATATAGAGAGATGATATTTAGGAAGGTTCAAAACGGGGTTCCAGTAGTTATAAATTTATATTACTGTATCATTCCCATTTAGCTTTCCACAGTTTAAATGTGTTCCTTGTAAGCAACAAGAAACACAAATCCTCCATTTCCTACCCCCTCTATTTTCTCTACCAGCAAATTTATGTTATTTGTGTCACCTTGGCATTTATTTTGTTTTCAGTAATAATATGCATATATGTCAACAGATTGTTTTTACTCCCAGATTTTGTAGATGAGGCAATAAGGGAGAATGTTTTTATTTCCATCTCTTCTCCATTTCCTACTTATGTTAGTTATAACATTTCAGTACTGTCTAAATATA